ATTAAATGAACTAATTATATTATGACTTATTAACTTACAGACTGTTTTATATAAACATAGTTTTACTTTTGAAAAGGACAAAGTGTTGAGTCTGCCTTTAAAATATTTAAAACAGCCAAATATTTTTAAAATGTTTCCAACTATGAAATATGAGGCAAAAACATTATACAGCATTATTCATACTTATCGTTGTAGTATGAAGCAAAATTATTTTCACTCACATTTCATACTTTCAAACAATTTCCAACCTTATGTCTGACAAGTGACGGAATATTAAATAATATTAGAGATGAAAGTACATTGTTGTGCAGACCCTACTCTGAGCGTCGTGTAAATGAGAGTTGTCACCTGTGATACGTAACATAGAAATATGTAGCGACAGCGAAAAAATTACAAAGTTTATGTTTGGCCACATTATCTTTGCATTTACAGAGCTATCTTTCAGTTGCCTTTTCAGTAAAAATATGTTAAGAAGTTGGAAACTTTCTATAGAAAATACTCTCGAGATTTTAAAAAAATTCACGTCGTCCAATTTCATCGTATTTGATGATATTATTTCAATTTTACATACATATAAACAGCAAAGGAACAATTTCTTTTTTTTACGTATTTAATTTTCTCCGCCAGGTATACACGTGAACATTTTAACACCTACCTATTTCGATGCCAGCTTTTTTGCTAACCGTTCTTTTTGAGCGGGCATTATGTAAATTGTCTATTAGAAGCAATGAGCTACACATTTATGCGAACAAGTTTGACAACAGTCGGTGAATTTGAGGTGAAACACTTTCGACGGGAGAAATACCTTCCTGAAGAGGAGAATTTTCAAAATAAAATAATAGATTTTATAATAACACCACAGCTCTAAAGCAAGCCAGCTGTTAACTAAGAGTTACTTAGCGTGAGGAAGCATTCTCTTTACGCTTACCTTTTTACCGTTAGGTGCCACTTTAGGGTTGATGAAAAACAAGATATCGTAAACTGTCACCTATCTTAGCTTAGGGATTCTTACAATATAAGAGAGGTTTACGAACACACGACTTAGTCCTCTACTTCCATCTCCACCGAACCAACCCAGACATTCAAAAACGAAAAGTCAATACTAAGCGATGATGTCTCCACACTCACGATACTCTAAACTTGTCCATTACAAATGCATTTGCACCTCTCTGCGATACACTCAACACTCACCCATAAGTCTATGACCATAAAGTTCACTACAGGTGTAACTTTATCTTTGTATTTGTTACGGGGCACAAAGATACTTTTACATATGATTTACACGACATTGCACTCTATGGTGTTCACATTAAGGGAGTGACGTGTGATGTTGCAGTTCAGTACATTTGGTTCTCATCACACACTTGTCTGTCCGTCTGTCTGCATGACAAATTGTTACCAGGGAACGATTAATGGTATTATGACGCTTTGTAGATTTATGATCTGATGTAAGATAATAGAATGTGATGTATGGGGGTTTAGAAGACCATAAGCTCTGTAGGTATTAAATTCAGCTGGAGACACAAGACCTGTGCAGTAGGATCTAATTAGTACACCAACGAGTGAATATAAAACAACAGTGGTGTTACGTTTATTTATCTGAGTTCACAAATACCGTTTCAGAAACTGTTCAGCTATTAGAAACATTACAAATATAATAAATGCACTATCGTATTCATATTGGTGGTAACTTGGCTACGCGTGACGTGTCCCAGGACGATGAATCTTCCTGTTCCACACTCGTCTGTGCTGTACGAGAATCTGATGTTTCTGCGGTCAGAACTACTTTGTAGTCGTAGAAGAAGTGCATGTTGTATGGTCGAACTTGACCACTGCCGTTTGGACAGCGATGATCCGCTATCTTGGTGAACACTACCGAAAACAAAGAGAAACAAAATAAAATTATATGTGTTGGCAATCAGAGCTCCGTTTAATGCACTTTTAAATAAGATACGGCTTTTAAGCTCCTAAATAATATTGGTTTATGTGTATACAAAGAACGATGATCATTGCCAATAATGATGATATAATCTAACTGTATGAACTGCCACAGCTCATAGAGTTACAGTATAATATTCTAGAAGCCTCCATGTACTTACTAGTACCATCCTGGCAGTTCCTGTAGTGCATCATGCAGAGACTCTTGAACGTCCTCCTGGCTCGCTGGTACGCTCCACAGATCCACTTGATTGAGGGATCGCGCCATTTTTTAAGCATATCCGCCGGACATTTTGTACATTTACGGTGCCATTTTTGCCTGTAATTGTGGATAAAGTAGTAGTAACAAGTAACTCTGAGTTTTTGTCCCGTCGCGTCATGTTTTGCGCAATGCTGCTTATGAGTGTGAGCTGGAGGAGCTCAGGAGTTCAGGAGTTCAGGAGTTCAGGAGAAGCTCAGGAGTTTCGGCTAGTTTCACGCCACGTTAGTCGAGCCGTCATATAGTTACATGATCAAGCCGTTGAACTTTTAAAAGTTAGTTAAATGGCCGTGTTATATTAATGACATGATATAAACTTTTGAAAGGATTCCATAATATTTATCTCCATACCATCCTTTCCGTTCGACAGTAGACTTCGGTGTGCGATCTTTCTTTTTTCGTGGTTTTATTATTTGAGATGACGAAGAAGTTTCCTCTGTCAATGATTGTTCTAACGATTCGGAATCAGCTGGACCGCCCTTCCTATCTGCGCAATATAAATATTAAGTTATGAACATCATAAACTCATCGAACGTAACAGGGTTTTATCATCATCAACAGTTAGGCTGTTTTATAGGTAAATGTCTACTGCTGACTAAAGCCTTTTCTTGCACGGAGAAGGTTTGAGCATTAATCACCACGCTTGCTCACTGCGGGTTGGCGATTTCAATCGTATAATTAGAAATTATAAGCCCAGATTTCCTAACGATGTTCCCTTCACCGTTTGTCAGTGGTGTCTAAATCATTTTAGATAGTACCTACATATAACTCGGAAAAAGTCACATTGGTACTTGCCATTGGTAGGTTTCGAGCCCGCTCCCTATGCATGAGAAGCTGCCGTCTTAAACCTCCGGGCCACGACAGTATTACGACGTAATAGAGTTTATACCATAATATCTACGATTCGCGAAGCTGATTTCAAATTGTTGTTTAAACGGATCAGGTTTATCAGAGAGCGCAAAAGGACTACTCTGCAATCTTATATTACCCACGAGGGGAATAGTTGTGCTGACAATGTATTGTACTCTACCGTGATACCACAGCAGTGTTCTTAATGTTATAGATAATATAACCCTTTATACTATAATAGTTCTGCACATACTGTTATCCCCCGCTTTCCCTGATGATGAAGTGGAAATCGATTTCTTCCTGTTCTGCCGTCGTGTTTCTATTAAGTTCAAGTTGTTGTCTTTTAGTTTATTTTCATAATCGTCTATTAATGACTCGTTGAATACGAAGGCTGTTGTGATTTGCACTGTGAGGGCATAGAAGATATTTTATAGATAGATATTACTATTTTAATCTAGGCTGCTTCATTAGCCGAGTGGTCGCCAGTGCGACTGCCGGGCAAGGGGTCTCGGGTTCGACTCCCGGGTTGGTCAACTGAGATTTTAAAAAAATCAAGTAGTAGCACGGAGTTTGGAAATGTGCTCGGTATATGGCAATAGACTCACCCCCTATTACATGGGACTCATAACATAAATAGTGAAAAGCGGGTGTCACATTGTACAGTGGCATTAAGTACCATATTGTGCACCACTGCCTAGCCCTTCGGGGATAAAAGACGTGATGTTATGTTTAATCTAGGAAGAGAATAATATCAATTGTATTGCCTTACTCGGTAACTACAGTTTTGCGTTGTCACAGCATTCTTTTAAGTTTTTTTGAACTTTTCTATATTTTATTTGAGGAGCTAATGGTAAATGTCACTAAGTGAATATTTATCCTTACTAATATTATAAATCGGAAAGTGAGTTTGTTTGTTTGTTCCGCTTTCACTTTTCGCCGTAACTACTGAACCGATTGCTTTGAATTTTTGCAGACGTAAAGTTAAAAGTCCGGATTAAATAATAGAGTACTTTTTATCCCGGAAAAAATTGATATTCCCGAGGGAAAACAAAAGTATTGGTTTGGATGGCGCTGTGTGTATTGGTATATGTCACATAGGCTACTTTTTATCCTTTTGTGACACGAGCGAAGCCGCGGGTAAAAGCTAGTCATAATATAAATAGGTACTTACGTAACATCAACACGAGTACGAAGTACGGTACAGCTCGCACCATGGCTCCACGTCAATCATTTTACTCCCAGCACAACTTGTACATCGGCCCATAAACATAATGCCTAACCGAATTTATTTCTATTCGATTTGAATTTTTACGGTTTCGTGATATCTACGTGTAATTTTATTTTCATATTGTATGTTTTTATTTGTTAGGAAAGTAAATGTCACAGACATTTTAAGATCCGTATCGATTTATTTCATTTTGTACATTTTAATTCCTGGAATATAATTTCAGTCATTATATTTAGAATCTTGAAGACTGCCTCGTTGGCCGAGCCTCACAAGTGCGACTGCCGGGCAAAGGGTCTCGGGTTCGTTTTACGGGTCGGGCAAATTATTACTGGGTTTTTAAAAATTATCAATAGTAGCACGGAGTCTGGAATTGTACCCGATATATGGCAATAGGCTCACTCCCTATTAAATGGGATCCATAACATAAATAGTGAAAAGTGGGTGTTACATTGTACAGTGGCATAATGTGCACCTCTGCCTGCCCCTTCGGGGATAAAAGGCGTAATGTTATGTTATATTTAGAATGTCGATTACATGCTTCTACACGATAATTATAAAAGAAATGAATATAGTACATCAGCGGATGTTTCTACAGTTACTAATATTAAGCGATTTATAATTTTGAAAAGGTTGCATTATTTTTTGTACCTATAATATATTTATAAAAAAGTATTTTACTTTAAGTTACTGAATAATAGACAGAGAGGTAATGTTAAATGTTTATTCTCTATATAGTTTACATTATATTTGGTTTCTCCTATACTTTGTAGCCATAGAACCAGCTCCGTCCATGGTACGGGTCTTTCTTACATTTATGTTCGTGGATCTTAACAAACACTGAAAATAAAATTAACAAAACGTTAGCATGTGAACTATACCATACTTATTAAACCAACTAATAATAATTAATGTCATCACTAAAGAAAATATCCAGTTTGTAAAAATTTATGTTAAGCAATCAGTGCCGTTTATGGATCACGAGGAATTACGAGAGCATTGCCAGCCTTTTACGCATAACAGCTTTTTTTTTGAGGGGGGAAAATGATCCAATGACTTCTCCCCGCCTTGAGTTAGGCGGGAGGGAGTGTCAGACTCTTACTGACTAAAAACCACCCAGTTTCTACTCCTGCCCTTCGAACCAGAGCCCCGGCAACCCGCTAGGCCTTCCGCTATAATATATTAGCTTACTGGTGCCATCCTGGCAGTTCCTGTATCTCAGCATGCACTGACTCTTGAAGCTTCTCCTGGCGTTCTGGTAAGCAGCACATATCCACTTGATGCCAATGTTCGTGTACTTCTTCAACATGTCTTGAGGACAAGGATGACAGGTCCGGTACCTCTGAAAGCTATACAATTTTATACATTATTGTTTGAGTAGTGAAGTTTAAATTTGAAGTATCTGTGAAGACCAGTTTCACAGAATTTTATTCTTTCTTTTGTCACATGCTAGGATGTCTCCTACAATGTAGAGAAAATAAACAAAGATGTCAGTTTATGGATCACACAGACAAAGCTCGGACAAAGGTTAAAGCAATAGTAACTATTACACAATTAAATATATACAATACAAGATAAAAATTAATATATACAACTTAAAATATATAAAAAAAAATTTAAAACTAAAATATTTACACCTTAATAAAATAATAATAGTTGATTTTAAGTGATTGATATAATAATAATATTCTTAAACGGGAAAATTAAGATCCAAGATAAGGACCATAGTAAAATGATCTTACGTTTGTCTCTTCTCATCTGTTTCTGATGCTGAATCGTGCGATCGTTTCTCTTCAGTCGACGAATAATCCTTTGAAATTGATCTGAAAATGAAGAACAACTTCCACTTGCATCTAGCTCCTTTATAGTTTTAACTTATTAATACCCGACTATAAATAACGCTATTCTGTCTTAAACACTCCATTTAATATATGTTTAGTATATATTATATTTATCTCCTCGTTTAATTTATCCGCCTCACACGGGCAGTCCTCACATGCCATTCCTCCATCTAACGATAATACCCGGTTATTGCTGAACGGTCTCAAAGAAAGGCTGACCATGTAAAATGGCGTCGTTCCCCTGATTTATCTCATAGCGCACGTAAATAAATTATCTCATAAATAAGAACGGGTCTTTCCGCTGAACTAGAAAATTTATTTTAGCTAAATAACGTCTTTTCGGCCGTTTTGGGGTTCCGAGGAACCTATCTAGGTACCTACAGTTCTAGTTGGATAGTAATTTAAATAGATATCTGTTAGCTTGCTAGTCCTAATTTAGTACCTATACTTAGTTAGTGTGAAAGTGAAGCTTGTGTATTTGTTCTTTTGTCATAAACGGTCCACAGATTATGAAGAACTGTTTAATAGAAAGAAAAGCATTTATTTGACAGGTATAATACCTATAATACCTCTCAAATAAACGGTACCAACCAATGAATTGCTAAGATGTAGAATAAATAACCTATATTTTAATTATTTTTTATCCAATATCTGTGTTTCCATTTTTATAGTTTGCTAAGGCCTGACACCACCTACCTCTTCATTTCCCACTTTAAAGGACATCGAATTCCTTAATAACACTTGACAGTTAAGCAAGTACAAATTAGCCAAGTCATTTGGTATGCAGATAAAAAATAAAGGTTGAATCAGTACAAAGTCCGTTGGGTGGCTATCAGTAGCTAGGGCAGCTATATGTCCTCTCAGGACAACTAATGGTTACAAAAGGTTGGCTTGGATACGATACATAGTTTCACTTTTCTCAGAGTTCAAGGAACTGGCGAGGTCGATAGGGTCCACGGAGTAGTCGTACCACTGCGGGCCTCGGTGCTGTGCATCATCAAACTGAGCCAAGTTGTCCATGTCGTCGATATGGTTCAGTGGCAACTTTGTAACCTCTACAAATTGTGTCACCAAACATATTGTATCTAGAACATTCAAATACTTCTATCATTATAGGTTCTATGCTAAATTGATCCTTAATACAAAGTAAACAAAAGACATTTTACCGCAAGTTATTTTCTTTCTCTATTACGTCATCAAAATATAAAACTATCATTAACGACTGACAGTTGTAATTCTCTGCTAAGTTACTGAAAATTATGTTTTCTTTTGATACTATACATAAGTAAGTAGTATCTAGTAGTAGGAAACTGGTATTGCTTCTAGTTTTAAAAAACACAATTTCAGAAGTTTTTTTGTAGTATTTATGTCAAGCAAATATAATCAGGATCACTGTAGACTTACCGCGTACAAATATTATTGCAAAAACTAGAACTAACATTGTTTGAACATAGTGTTATGTTGCTATATGTAAATAGCCAACTTCACTTTGTACATGCAACATTAAACAACCTGTAACATTCACGTGTCCTGACAATTATTACAAAAAGTAATCAGTTTTCACTCGTTTGTCTGTTTGTCAATATTTTCTTAATCCTTAATTTAGAATGCCGATGCCTTGATTGAACCACGTTTTCATTTTATATGTCAATGTTACAAACAAATGTTCTATAATTTGGTGTAATCGTGTGTGTAAACTATCATTGTGTAAGTAGCCATTGATAAATGAAATTCTTGGGAAATATACTCATGGGGATGCTTGATTTGGTTATAATCAGTAGCTCCGTATACATCATAAAAGATAAATTGATTTAAAATAAAGCCACAGGTAACACTTGTATAAAAACATAACCAACGTTTGTTATCGATTTGGTTTAAGGCCTGAATTTATGCTTCCTTAACATTCGAACATTTTATTTCTCGAATGAAAATAAAACATTATTTCTCGGTGTAAATACAGAGAGACTATGAATATATTAAATAGATTTATTGTATTGATTAATATCACACATGGTAGCCGTAGAACCAGTGTCTGCCGTGGTAGGTGTCGTTCTTACATTTGTGATCGTGCACCTTCACGAACACTGCAAGTGATAGAGAAAGACCAATTAGGAATCTTCCTTTAGGTTCATTGAAAGAAATTTTACATTATTAACTATCTACAAACATACTATATCGTTCCCTATTGGGGTATTTTTCGCTTTCTCTACGCTCGTTTAATTTGTCTTAAAATATCTGTCTGTAAAGATGTTTATTTACGTCTTTTTAGATGCCATAAATATAATAGAAGATATAAGGATCATATAAAATGGAGCTCTTTATTTTTTCACTCAACTTTTTACGATAGATAAATATTATATGAAGAGTCCTTTAACAGCACAAAATATCCTAAAGATTTTTGATTAATTATTTTGAGTAATTATACCTATAAAATTGGCCTCTGGAATACTCACTGGTTCCATCCTGACAGTTCCTGTACCTCAGCATGCACTCACTCTTGAAGCTGCGCCTGGCACGCTGGTACCCAGCACAGATCCACTTGATACCAATATTCGTATATTTCTTCAACATATCATGAGGGCAAGCATGACAGGTCCGGTACCTCTGTGTCCTGCAAATGTCGACCGTAGTGCTTAACGATAGAGTTTAGGATTAATGATGGTGCTAAAGACACTTGGCGATATACTTACGCTCGTCTCCTTTCGTTGGTTTCCTTGGACGAGACGGATGATGCTTCGTCGCTTACCGACGAATATTTTGATATTTCTCTGTATATTAAGATTGATTAAGATTGATTATTGAGTCAGAAGTCTTCTCTCACCTTACATATTACTAGGTAGGTACTTTTACATTGACTACTTACAAAGTCGAGCTCTTCGCATCCTCCAGGCTGCTGGCAGCCTCTAGAGAGTTGACGGAGTAGTCGTACCATTTCGGACCTCGATGTTGAGCATCATCGAATTGTGCCAAATTGTCCATCTGGTTGATATGCACCAGGTGGTAGGGGGTGTGGCCCCGATGGCATTGTGATACTACAAATCACAGAACACCATCTTTACTAACTTCACTGAAGTTTTTTTAAATATGTATCTCAAAAACACCATAAAGCGAAAAACTATCTTCTTACCTTTAAAAAATAAAATCACAAATACCCAAAATAACATTATGATAAAAACATGATAAGGTTTGTGTAAAATAAAATATACATTATTTGCGAATAAGTTTTAACGTTAAACTGTGATTTAAATTTCAATTTACGATCGTTTATGTATTTTATTGCTATTACCTAAAAGTTTAGTGATTTATATCATTGCAGCAGTGATAGATATTTTTGGGACCTATAATAGTAACATTGGTCCTAGAAACGCTCCCTGTGGCATACCTCAAGGTGTTACAAAAAATGCACAAAGACATTAATCAAAAACAGGTGACATTAATTAAAATAAAAGTCCTAGTATACGATGTTTTGCCATTTAATAAATATGATTTAAAACATCTTTTGCTGTGCACACTTAAGAAACTACTCGTGAAGCCATTGTCGAGCCGTGTCGTCTTCCTTAACTAAATAATATCCTGAAACAAAGGCTTATATAAGTTCAATGTTAATTTAAATTTCTTGAGCAATCTACCTGTTATGTTAAAACGTAAACTTTTTGCATTCAAAGTGCATTTAGTAACTTGTAGAAACATGAATTCTCTTCCAAATTAATTTAGTGTATAGAAAAACACCAGCACATGAATGTTATAGGGTTGTATGCGCCTACACTTGGATGATAGTTGATAGTTTGGCTGCTTCTTGTTGATATAGACACGAAGATCGCGTAGAAATGATACAGTAACACAAACTTCTGTGACGAGAGTATATTGATACTTATCGATACAAAATGATAAAGTGCAGTGATATAAAATGCTAATGATACAAAAGTGCTGACGCGCGCCGCGACAGTAATTATGTGTATAAAACAAAATTAAATCTGTACAGTTGTATGTACAAATGTTGAAACTATTAATGTTCCATTTCAAACTAATAATATATGGAGACTTCAGTTCCGAGATACTATAACAGAAATCGTTAAACTCAATACGGAGCTGCAGATCGTGCTTTCAAAATAAACGAGTGAACTGCATATTGTAATGAGAACTGTTTTAGCTGCATATTCATGTTGTTTTACCTATACGTTATAGAAATCAGTAAGAACAGTATTGTCTTACAATTTGTGAAGTTATACGAAGTAATGAGACTGTACTTACACATTAAATGTAGAAAAATATGTGGGTATTCTACGAGTCATCTGGTTCATCGTCATCTAAAAAAAGTTGACATTACAACAACTGTTATTTCCCAAATATTTCTTTTATAGAAATAATATGTAGTGTGTTACACCCGTTATTAATAAGCGAGGCATATGTTCTCTTATGTTAAAATCTCAACATAAATATCTGCTATTTAATTACTATTAAACTCCGGGGAAAATAGCTGTCCTAAACAAGATCTAAAAGAACGTAACTAGTAGAGAAATTCAATAACTAGTGAAGGCTAAAAGTTTGATTAAATATAATTTGCATGGCGGCCGGCTCACCATCTGCTCTCCTAATACATATATTTTTAATTTATGTCCAAAAAGTTGAAGGATCCGCGCCGGATACAGGGTACGCTTGTTAAAAATTATACTCAAGTTTGGAGTCCTTCCTAAACATCTGTGGTCGTGGTGTATGCTGATTGCGAGTATTATTATGTTTTCCCATTAATCACCAATCCCCATGGAAACCTGTTCGCTTTGTCAAAAACGATGCCTTCTTTTCCTTAAAGGAGCGAAATAGCTCTACTCAATCTAGGGCAAACGAAAGCTGTAAATCTCCACAAACAGTTCCCACTCATTGAATGCCATGACATTATTGCAATTATATTAAAAATTACTCTTACCAGATATCGTTCTCACTGCATTGCCTAAATAATTTGATTGTACATTTTGAACGTCTGAAAATAGAACAACAATAAATATATTATACAAGGGTTTTAATTAACATGGTCACAATATTAATTTAGAGTACGTAAGGGACTTACTTGCTCCAATCTGCTTCTGGTTAGGTTTTCCATATACATCTCTGCTTGGTGCAGGTGGATACACTGGAGGTCTGTCATAGTTAGGCCTCTGGTACATAGTAGGAGCTGGATATGCGCTGGGTACTGTCTGGAATCTCGGATCATATGGTTGGTAATGCCCTTGAGGCCCTGCGTAATTATTTTCCATTGCATCCCCTGGTGCATATTGGTAGTTTGGTGGATAGGCGAATTGATTGGGTTTATACGACGCAGGTGGTACTTTTATTCTTGGAGGATACTCAGGATATTCTTGGTTTACGAATGGAGGCTGGTAGTTTCGTTGATATGGATAGTGAGGTGGTGGTTCGACGTAGCCTGTATCTGTCTGTAGCATAGGATACGTCTGGATAGAGTATCCCTGCTTCAGACCGTCGGCCGCACTGACTTGGTTGGTTCCAGGGTAATTAACGGTTCTTGGAGTATAAGATGGATATATCGATGGTGGTCTAAAAGTGCTGGTAGCAGCTGATAAACTTTGTGCATCAGGGGCAACTGCTGCATACTGCCTGGAGTAGCCTAAAACATGTAAATATATATATAAAGTCTTTTTGTAACTTTAAGACGGCGCTTTCATCCCTATATAAAAATAAATATATTGTAAGCAGATTGTAGTAGCTGCTGTAAACCTGTCAAATAAAATTGAAACAGTTCCCGAGTAGATATAAACGGTGGTGTCCCAAAAATCATCAAGTGTAAAACGAATTTTACGTTGACCAATAAAACAGTGATAACAGGAGTGGCACCTGAATGGAAAACACAATTACCCTCACGCTATCACGTTCAGGGGTGAGTGGCTTCAGTAAATGGACATCGAGGTGTCAATACACTTGAGGGGCAATCTATAGCGCGTCAGTTTGCTCGATTGGCGCTCATCGCTCGTTTCGACCTTGTCCTTATTGCGTTTCCAAAACGATTCACCGTATTGGTTTTCCTCAATGCTCTCCCACTAATTAGGGACCGCTATCTCGGAGGACGATTGATTTATGTACCATTGTTTGTTTTGTTATCTGCTATCAAACTGCCAAGGATAGAGGCGCTTTGCCTAATTTTTGGGTAAACCTTTGCTTTCTCCGTAATTAATGTATTTAGGGAAACGTTTAATTTAACTACTGCGCATTAGATTTTGTATTGGTTTCTGCAAACAAACTGTTTGAGCCACAGGACGAAATATTTCAATTTGTAACTAAGATAATAAAAATTTATTGTTCAAGCTATTAATTCTTTTGATATATTATAATATTTGAGTGGACGCTCGTCGCTCACCAATCCATACCCGTGAGTCCAGCTCCATTTTTTAACGTCACCTGTATCTGCAATTATGACGGTGTGTCGCAGCCGCTCGTAAATTTTTACTTTATTTGTTTGCTTTTAATGTTCCAGTTGATACGAGTTTTTTATTTCTCCCTCTGTCACCCTCTGTTCGTCCCCTCACGCCGGGTGCAAACGAGCTAGCAAACGATGGCATAAAATCGACGGTTATCACGCATTTGCCAACTTTTCAACTGGCCACCGCGCGCTAAACTTTGAAAGGGGATCTCGATCTGACGATTTTAATCTGAAATAATAATGTCAGCTCAGACGATGTTATGCTAATAAAACGAATGCTAAATGTTTTCATCGTAAATGCTTACCTTAAAATAGCGGTAGCTTACCTGAAATTGCTGAAACAGAATAATGGTCATTTTCACTTTGTAATCGAATGCACATATAATACATATATATATTTCATTCCAAATTAAAATTTAAAATATCTCACCAGATTTCACTGGTTCCGGTGGTTCTATGCCTAGAAAAAGAGGAAACCAGTTTAGCTTCATATTATTACATTAAATACAATTTGAGTAACACAAATATACTAACAGCATGCTGGTTTGGTGTAGCAGTTGACTTCGACGGTGACCATGCCGACCGCGGTGGCTTCCGTGCACAAACAGATCTGGCATTCATCCCAAGGGTGCTGGAACGTTTGGTTCGGGGGATATGGCCGGCAGGATTCGTCTGGGGAAATGATCCTCATAAGGTCTAAATGGATACGTACACAAATCTTATAGTTTTTATTATTTGCTACAAACTGCAGATCACGTTCATCTTTTTACGTATATGTTTGGCAGTATTAATTGTGGTGGTTCAAAACTAGATTCATAACACTCACGTGGCGATGGACCTGGAAGCGGGCCAGGTGGTGGAGCCAGCATCGGCAGTGGGGGTCCTGGCGACACTGTCGTTATAGGAGGCCACGGTACTGGACAATAATAGATGATTTTATTGAAATCATTTAATATGTGAGACATTTTTAAAACATAATATCTACGATTATGAATATTATGTGTGTACTCACAAGGTTCTATCGTAACAATCTCTGGTAATGGAACAGGTTCTATTGGCTCCAACTGCCCTTTTAAAGGCTCTGATGGTATCAGTTCTGGTTCAGGAGCTGGTTTTACTCGTTGAGGATCTAATGGCATAGGAAGAGAAGGGACTGCCTCCGTGGCTGGTTCCGGTTTAGGTACTGTCAAATTTAAAAGAAAATAAAAGTTCTTAATTCATAAACTCGAGTAAGAAAAGCATTATCATATTTAAAAACTTACTGCAATCAGGATGAGGGTAGCAAGTAAGTACTTGCTCAGAACTGCCGTTATCTGTGTCTCTCTTGGAGCACTTGCACAGCTTGCAGTTGTCGGTTGGGTGAGGGAACAGCACGTGTTCAGGGAACTTCTCACAAATTGGCACTGAAAACAACAAATATAAGCAGTGGTATTAGTTAGTCTTGCGTGGTTTCAGTGCTGGTTGAGAGAACCCCAATCAATTTATTGTACACAAATATTTTCTCCTTAAAAACCTCATGAAGGAATTGGGGATACTCAACTGAGTAACGTTCTTCGAAAACAATCGTCACATAATGCTGCGCATCCGGCATGAAAGTTACAAAAATTGTTTAATTTTATCCTAACTCAGGATTTTATTCAAGCACAAATTTATCAATATCTACGTCCGACTAATCTACTATCCATATAAATTATAATGATTATTATGTAAAACTTACGTGGTATCGGTACTGGGACCTCTGGCAGTGGCGCTGTAAAACAACAAAATAGTCATTGAAATCATTAACTTGAAACATAGCGGTAATTGAGAAAAATAAGACAATCTAAAATACTTACGTAATGTAGTCAAGTCGACAGGTGATACTAAGACAGTAAAAAACAAAAATTAAAAATAGCATCCGAAAAAGAATTTGTGTGAATAGAAATGGTTGTCTCGACTTACTGCATTGAGGATTCTCTTTGCATTCGATCTGGACGTCAACATTTCCAGACACGTCAGATTCTTTGCATGTGCATATCTGACACGGGTGCAGTGGGTTTGTAAACGGTTGACCATTGGGTAGAGGACTACATGATGCTAAAAATCATAAAATTTGTATCGTACATAAACATCAACAGTTTTCAAGTAAATGACATGTTATAGCTATTAATCAAAACGATACACCAGCAGGTTAAGATAGATCGTTAATCTTTTATAATGTGCAATGTGGATTTGTTAATTAGATTCCAATGATTCTCATTTTTTATGTGAATAAATTTATATTATGTGTGTGCTATTATTGTAAAATCATTAGGATTTGTGCTTTAATCAAATGAACTGTATATAAAACTTGCAAAAAACGCAACTAAAAATATTAATTTCAAAACAATAACAATTACCTTCAGCCGGTTGCGGTGGCAGTGTTGGGATCGGCTCTGGAAAACTGTCTGGGAGAGGTGAAGGGCCTGGAATAGGGGCTGGATACTTGGGATATGGCTCTGGAGTGGGAATTTCCAAATTTGGTTCCGGATTAGGTCTCTCTGGCTCTGGTGAATATGGTTCTGGAATCATTGGGATAGTCTCAGGAGTCGCGGGTTTGACTGGAATGGGTACTGGTAGTTCTGGGATATATTCTGGATGATATGGAGAAGGTTTACGGCATCCACCACAACTCGCACAGACAGGGGTCAGGACTCCATACTCGTTAACACAAATACAGGTCATACAATCGACGCCTTCAGACCAAAAATGATGAAACTCATTTTCTTTTGTACACTGAATTACATTTTCACCTCCTGAAAATAGGAGATAGAAACTATTAAGTATTCTTTATATTCATTCAGTATTCTTAATAATAGAGTATTTAAAGAACTAATGTAACATGATGCTTACCGGGCATTTTATTTGGGAATATATATTCGTGTGGCAGTATGGTTCTGGACTTTGCATCTGAAACAATCCATAATGATTAAACACTTTTATGCCATACCCAGACGCCATTGTTAATTATTGTAAATGAAATTATTACCTTCGAATGCGATCGGTGAACTTTGCTGAGCTGAAAACGAAATGTTTCGGTAAATGAATGGAAGTTTTAAAACTACCATTGCTTATTATTGCACTTTTAACGACTTTTGCTCGGGAATAATTTTTCAAATTCAAATTCAAATTCAAATTATTTATTTGCACAAATATGGGTACATCATGTTGTTCATAGTTTATACAGTATATAATTACACAATATGTAATTTCAAATTTATTTTGGTATTTCTACTCAACAAAGAATCGAGAAACTAATATACAATGATTCAAATATTCACTTACTGGAAAATGTGCCGGAAGAACCTTCATATGTTGCCTTGTTGTAACCTGGGCGAAAAGGTGACTCAGATGGATAATCATACGGACCCAGACTATATTGATTAATCACACCACCAGCAGCGGGTCCTTGCTTATCCGCTCCTAAAGGATACAACTGAGGAGTTGGAACACTAGGAGGAGCATACTCGTATGAAGTCCAGTCACTCTTTGATTTGAGGTCTGCCATCATATCGTTACCTATGGCTGGGTCATATCCATGATTTTTGAATTTATTGTATGCGTACGAAGACTGAGAAGCAGACGTGATATCAGATACGTCATTATGAACATGTGCTTTAGTATTTACGTTTAAGGGGTGCCCGTTAGGCTCAGGATCAAGATCAGATCTTGAAATAGATTGAGAAGGCTCAATAGCGTCTTCACTGGGATCTGTTCTAAGAATGGTTCGATATACTTCATCAGCCGTTTGTCTCTGAGAGAAACTGGAACCATCATTGTATGCCATATGTATAGAGTTCGGGACAACGACAGTCTGATACGGATTACTTTCTCCAGAAGATTTTGAAATGAGGGTGTTACGATCAAATCCTTTATTGTATGTTGAAGTCAATATATCAGCGGAGTAAGGTTCCCCGCTATATGGTCTAGAAATAAAATCTTCTCGTTGTTTACTGGAAGTTGGTAATCCGAAGGACTGATATGCATAATTTATAGATTTGCTCTGAGTATGAGTAGGTTCTCTATATGGAACTAACATTGAATCGACTGATGCAGGATTTGAATCTGGTATTGAAATTGCTCGATATGGATTGTTTTCATTTTCTACTTGACTTGATTCAGAATTAAAAGCGTGGGAGCGATGAGAAATAATGTTTAATTCAGAATTTAGACCTTCATGATAGGGCACTGTGTAATAATTATCATTTGGTTTGACTAAAGGTACAGGTTTATATGCTTCGTTGTCTTTTTGTGTTTGGGAAGTTCCTAAATCATTGTAAGGCACTAGAAAGTGATACGGGATTTTTGGTATCGGTGGAGGTAGATAAGGCTTTTTAATAGACTGAAATAGGTTTTTGAGACCAACTGAATTCGTTTCTGGGTTATGCTGGTAAGTTAGTGATAAATCAGTGAGCAAATCCGTAGAAGGATGGTATTTAGAGAAAGCCTTAGAATTAGGATCACGTAAATGTTGATTGAAGGAAAGTTCAACATCAGTTGGGGCTGTAGGACTTATGCCTTGTTTATAATTAAAATTAGGCGAATATTTTAATGCACGTTGAGATAATCCATTACCGGTGTCAGCTTGTGGTCGGGGTAAATTAACTCCAGAACTGTAGGAGTAGGATGGTGAGTATGGATACGAGTTAGCTCCGGGGTTGTACAAGCCACTATCACTATTGACTCCAGCTTCTGCTTGTGGCAAACTGGATCCTGGTGGAGCAGATTGAATAAAATGTTTTGATTAATTAAACTACTAAATGATGGAACATGAACTGCATTGCTGCTGTTTTCGATTGAGAATAATTACAAAATCAACACAAAGTAGAGAATATCCTCCACCACTGTGCTAATCTACATTACTCATGGAAATATTGAGATAATACAAATTGTATATTTCGCAATATCATGCAGCTTATTATTCACTTTAAAAAGGTGTATGATGAAATTACCTCCAACATTACGAGAAGCACTTTGCGATATTGCTCCCGATCTGTCATCATCATCATCATCTTGAGAGTTAGATTCAGTTACAACTAATTCTGAAAGTAATTTTTTGCTCACTATACATCAAATGTTTGTATTTAATCAACTGATTTTCATGTTGTAACATTATTAGTAGCAAAGAATATTGAAGATCTAGTACATTACCATTTTTGAGATCACTGGGATTTTCTAATTTATTGTCATTTAAACCATTTGTTTCTTCAGCTCTGCCTTTAGATAACAGGAAGGCAAGGAGACAGATGCCTCCAATGACCCCACCCTGCATCCCGGCTTGTTGCACTTTACCCCTAAACTAATAATTACCCAGTTATGAACCATTAACTATTATTCCCCCAAATGAATTGACAAACATTAAACACTCATTTTTATAATCAAACCTGTAATCGTATGTGACAACCATTTGACATTTTAAAATTGCTACGATAGCAAATCACAATAATTCTTAACGTAATTACTGAATCAATGAATTGGATTGATTAGATTTGTTTCGCAATAATTTATGTTAAATGGACGTGCGTGCATTGTATAACATAAACAGTGCATTACACTTTTTACTCTTAAAGGTGTAGGCAGAAGTCCTATTCAATATAACACGACTTTTTTGGCACCTACTAGATATTATGTCTATAATCTCTCTGAGTGGGTGTACCTTTCCAGTCATCATACTGCTACTGATAATTATTGGTATCAAATAAAAATGTACCTACATACTTCAAAGTGCTTTGCCTGACTCCGGAACCATAGAGTATAATTGTGGACCTTAAGAGTAGCAACCTAGCAATATCAACGTCGTTCACATCCTACATAATATATTTTTTTACTTTCTTGATTCATCTAATTATTTAAGCAGTCAACAATTTGTCATCAGTAAATTGTAATGTCTTTAATTTAATTTACAAGTAATGTACGTAGGTATATTATATAATTACATTTATCAATTTTTACAATAAAAATGAACCTAATATGCATAATTGGTACGGCTATTGACATACTACCATAGTGCCTGCCATATAGATGGCAAATTATATGTTAGATGTATACATTTCATAAATCAAGAGATGTCCCTCTTATACAAAAGTGTTGCAGTATCTGTAATATAGTCTCCTTGGTTGTCACAAACGAACGCTTTTGAGAGATCAGAAAAACACACAATGGGTTACGTATTTTTGAAAGTAAAATTTTAATGAACGCTGTGTACTACAAGATGCCCACTGCTGAACATAAGCGTCACCCAATGACCTTCAGATAGTTGGATATAAAATATTGTAATATTTAAGTTAGCATCATCAATTCATCATTATCTACAGCCGAAAGGCGTCCACTGCTGGACAAAGGCCTTCTCCTTTTAAGTAAGCATGTATCTGTGAAGAATGTTTCTTCAAATATAATACTTTACCATAATGCTTTGAAGAATATATCTCTTGTTCAACAATTTTGATTAAATGATTTGCCAAATAGGAATTTATAATAAAAATCAAATTAATCCCACTAGTAGCTTTATTACATAAATAATACATATAAGTATAAAGTTTGCTCGTCATTTTCTGGATGCTTCGATTAAAATATATAAACTTTATCAAATCCATTATCTTGCCAAGTTTGTAGAGAGATCATTGTGATGAGTGTTGGTCTGAAAAAAAAGAACATATTTAGATGTATATCGTTTCCGTTTCTCTATTTATTATTATTTATAATACAGCAATATGAACTAGTAAAGAAAATTTACTTCATGGTATTGTCAGAATAGAGTTATTCGCGATTATGGTCTCGTAAATTTATAATGATTATACATAGATATTATTCTACATAGGTAGTACAGAGACACACAATATGCTCTTAGTGTAATGGTAATACTTACTTATTCTCAGAAGTTTTGTGGTTTATTAGGCTCTCATTCTGAGTCTGAGCCTGCGTTGCTCAACGTTCCTCTTTCTCCTGGAGTCTGCTCGGTCTTCTGACGAATCGTCTGCTAAATCTGAATCAGTATCTGGTTCGCCACTTCGGATAATACCAGCATTGGCTAGTGCCTGTGCGATACTGATAGGACTTCCATAGCCACCGTAACCACCAGCTGCATTAGCAGCGGCGGCAGCAGCAGCAGCGTCTCCATGGCCACCATGATCGCCAGCAGCTGCAGCAGCAGCAGCAGCGGCCGCTGCATTAGCGTCTCCATGGCCACCGTAACCACCACCACCACCTGCAGCCGCAGCGGCAGCGGCAGCAGCTGCAGCACCAGCATTACCGTCTCCATAGCCACCATAACCGCCAGTATTAGCTGCAGCTAATGCTGCAGCATTAGCGTCGCTGTAGCCACCATATCCTCCTAATCCAGATGCTGCATTGGCAGCCGCTTGAGCTGCGGTATTCGATAAACCATAGCCGCCATAACCAGCATTATTCGCTGCAGCCTGAGCAGCTGCACTAGCGTCACTGTAACCACCATATCCTCCTAATCCGGATGCGGCATTGGCAGCAGCTTGAGCTGCGGTATTGGATAAACCATAGCCGCCATAGCCGCCAAAGCCAGCATTATTTGCTGCGGCCTGAGCAGCCGCACTAGCGTCACTGGAACCACTAAGCCCAGTAAGTCCGGAAGAAGCCAAAGCTGCAGCATTAGCATCGCTATACCCACCATATCCTCCTAAACCAGATGCAGCGTTTGCAGCAGCCTGAGCTGCGGCATTTGATAAGCCATAACCGCCATAGCCAGCGTTATTTGCAGCAGCCTGAGCAGCTGAACTAGCGTCACTAGAACCACCAAGTCCTATAAGTCCAGAAGAAGCCAAAGCCGCAGCATTAGCATCGCTGTAACCACCATATCCTCCTAATCCAGATGCAGCGTTGGCAGCAGCTAGAGCTGCGGCATTGGACGAAGAGGAGCCAAGATTGTTAGCTGCAGCTTGCGCAGCAGCACTAGCGTCGCTGTAGCCACCATATCCTCCTAATCCAGATGCTGCATTGGCAGCAGCTTGAGCTGCGGCATTAGATAAACCATAGCCGCCATACCCAGCATTATTTGCAGCAGCCTGAGCAGCTGCATTAGCATCACTATAGCCACCATATCCTCCTAATCCGGATGCGGCATTGGCAGCAGCCTGAGCTGCGGCATTGGATGAAGAAGAGCCAAGATTATTAGCTGCAGCTTGGGCAGCAGCACTAGCATCACTATAGCCACCATATCCTCCTAATCCAGACGCGGCATTGGCAGCAGCAAGAGCTGCGGCATTGGATGAATAAGATCCAAGATTGTTAGCTGCTGCCTGGGCAGCAGCACTAGCATCGCTGTAGCCACCATATCCTCCTAATCCAGATGCTGCATTGGCAGCAGCTTGAGCTGCGGCATTGGATAAACCATAGCCTCCGTAACCAGCATTATTCGCTGCAGCCTGAGCAGCTGCACCAGCATCACTATAGCCACCATATCCTCCTAATCCAGATGCTGCATTGGCAGCAGCTAGAGCTGCGGCATTAGATGAAGTATAGCCAAGAGAGTTTGTGACACCTTGGGCAACAGCATTGGCGTCACTATAACTTCCAAGTCCTTGTCCAAGACCAGAAGCGCTTTGAGCAGCTGCTTGGGCGGCAGCGTTAGACGAACTAAGACCTAAATAACTGGCAGTATTAGCAGCAGCTTGAGAATCTGCAATGCCGTATGCACCATTGTAACCGTTTGCAGCATTGGCCACTGCTTGAGCGTCCGCCAGGCTGTATGCACCATTATAACCATTTGCGGCGTTAGAGACTGCTTGAGCGTCTGCCAGGCTGTATGCACCATTATAACCATTTGCGGCGTTAGAGACTGCTTGAGCGTCTGCCAGGCTGTATGCACCATTATAACCATTTGCGGCGTTAGAGACTGCTTGAGCGTCTGCCAGGCTGTATGCACCATTATAACCATTTGCGGCGTTAGAGACTGCTTGAGCGTCTGCCAGGCTGTATGCACCATTATAACCATTTGCGGCGTTAGAGACTGCTTGAGCGTCTGCCAGGCTGTATGCACCATTATAACCATTTGCGGCGTTAGAGACTGCTTGAGCGTCTGCCAGGCTGTATGCACCATTATAACCATTTGCGGCGTTAGAGACTGCTTGAGCGTCTGCCAGGCTGTATGCACCATTATAACCATTTGCGGCGTTAGAGACTGCTTGAGCGTCTGCCAGGCTGTATGCACCATTATAACCATTTGCGGCGTTAGAGACTGCTTGAGCGTCTGCCAGGCTGTATGCACCATTATAACCATTTGCGGCGTTAGAGACTGCTTGAGCGTCCGCCAGGCTGTATGCACCATTATAACCATTTGCGGCGTTAGATACTGCTTGAGCGTCAGCCAGGCTGTATCCACCTCCATAACCAGACCCCGCGTTAGCGGTTGCTTGAGCATCAGCAATGCTGTATCCACCACCATAAACAGGCGCTGTATTAGCGGTTGCTTGAGCATCTGCGATGCTGTAACCACCTCCATAACCAGGTCCAGCGTTAGCGGTTGCTTGAGCATCAGCGATGCTGTATCCACCGCCATAACTGGGTCCAGCATTAGCGATTGCTTGAGCATCAGCGATGCTGTATCCACCTCCGTAACCAGGTCCAGCATTAGCGGTTGCTTGAGCATCAGCGATAGTGTATCCACCTCCATAACCAGGTCCAGCATTAGCGGTTGCTTGAGCATCAGCGATAGTGTATCCACCTCCATAACCAGATCCAGAGTTAGCAGTTGCTTGAGCATCAGCGATGCTATATCCACCTCCATAACCAGGTCCAGCATTAGCGGTTGCTTGAGCGTCAGCGATGCTGTATCCACCTCCGTAACCAGGTCCAGCATTAGCGGTTGCTTGAGCGTCAGCGATGCTGTATCCACCTCCGTAACCAGGTCTAGCATTAGCGGTGGCTTGAGCATCAGCGATGCTGTATCCACCTCCGTAACCAGGTCCAGCATTAGCGGTGGCTTGAGCATCAGCGATACTGTATCCACCTCCGTAAGCGGGCGCTGTATTAGCGGTTGCTTGAGCTTCAGCTATACTATATGCACCTCCATAAGTAGGACCTGTATTAGCAGTTGCTTGAGCATTAGCATTAGAGTAATCTCCTCCGTAACTCAACGGTGCGCCGGTATTTGCTACAGCGTTAGCGTTTGCATTTGATCCTGAGTAAGTATTTCCGTTCCAACCTCCAGTAGTAGCTGAAGCATCAGCCGATGCACTGGGACCACTGGAATATAAATTGTAGGGTCCGTATTTGACAACAGGTGACAGACCGGTGTTAGCGTTAGCATTAGCTTCGGCCGTAGATGATCCACCTGTACTTATTGCGTTTGCTGAGGCACCAGCTGTGCTCCAACCAGGTCCTTTTGGTTTACCTATAACATTTAAATATATGTTAGAACCATAAATCTTTAGTCATACCATCTGGTGCCCTGACAGGTTCCTAAAAATAACTTACCAATGCAATTACTGTCATGGCTGGTCTCAATAAAGACGTAGTTGTAGACGATCTTACACACGTGGATTACGCACGGCTCGGATGGAACGTAGAATGGTACCAGAGGTTGATGATGTTTGCACTCAGGGGCTAAAAATTAAATGAATATTAATTTATTGTAGCATTAGCAAAGCTTTACTATTGTATGATTGTGCTTTTAGTACATTACTACTGTTATCATAATTCACACTTTGTTAATAACTAGGGGGCGGCCCCTACTTCCCTCAGCTGCCATTTTTCGATGTTCCCGGTGAATGTATAGAATTATTCTTCAACACAAACCTGGTCTTAACTATAAAGAGCGCGACACAAAATATTATCGAATTTGGTCGAGTAGTTCGGGAGTTATGCGCGTACATACATTTCGGTGAATTACGTTTATTTATAAGATAATCCAAGAAAATTTCTGTACTCACCTACGTAGAGGACGACGGGCACTGGGTAGAACTTTGTCGCTGTAAAATAATTATACTAATTAAGTAATAAGGTCAAAATCACAGCGTATTTTACATATAAGACATAATACATTAGTAAACTTAATGTTTTTATGATTGTATTTCAATAATTTCGCTAGGCCTACCTCCAGGTACTGGTACGGGTACTGGCACTGGTACAAGTTTGTCCTTGCTAGGTACCGGAACTGGTACTATCTTAGGTAGTTGCGGTACAGAATACGGCCTGTTCGAAATGTAGATCTTGTCAGCAGGTACTGGTACGGGTACAGGTACAGGCACTAATATGTTTTTACCTGGTACCGGTACGGGTACTGGGTAAGGACGTGGCGGTCCACGGATAAACAGTGGAGGTGGACCTGTTGATGAAAATAAAACATTCTTAACTTAATATATTTTATCATCACTGCTACATTGGTATAGGTATTTTGAATAGCACGCCACAGAGCTTGAACGGTTTGCCCAGGCGTGAACTCCAACTCTTCAATGGGAGTGAATCAACAGACAATTTTTTTGATGCAATAAATGTTTATCATTATTATCAACAGCCTTTAAGTGGCTACTACTGACCAAAGGCCTCTTCTCACACGGAGAAGGTTTGAGCATTAATCACTATTCAATCAATCAATGAATGCGGGTTGGAGTTAATGTAAATGTTATTATAGGTGAATACTTACAGAACAGTACTTGGTCTTGAGGTGAGGGTTTCGGTGCTGGAGGCTGAGGTCCGGGTTGAGGTCCTGGTTGAGGTCCTGGTTGTGGTCCTGGTTGTGGTCCTGGTTGGGGTCCTGGTTGTGGTCCTGGTTGTGGTCCTGGTTGTGGTCCTGGTTTCGGTCCCGGTTGTGGTCCCGGCTGTGGTCCCGGTTGTGGTCCTGGTTGTGGTCCCGGTTGCGGTCCTGGCTGCGGTCCCGGTTGTGGTCCCGGCTGCGGTCCCGGTTGTGGTCCTGGTTGTGGTCCCGGCTGCGGTCCCGGTTGCGGTCCAGGTTGTGGTGCTGGTTTTGGAGGTAATGGCCAGCCTCGTGGGACAGGCAGAGGCAGTGGCTGCGGTGGCAATGGTTGTGGAACTGCAACAACAGAGAAAATGTCAAGACTTTGCTTCGAGCGGAAATCGAACCCAGCCATTAATTGCCCAGACATCGCACTAGTCGTGCAGTCATTCAGACAGTCGCAAATATTATAATTTTAAAATGATAACAACACAATCGAATAGATTTATTATTTTTCGAAACACCGAAGTGTATCGAAAAAACGTAAACAAGTGTCGACAGGAAATAAAATAAGACAATTTGTTGTGAAAGGAAAAAATCTTCAGAATTGATTAGCAAAACAAACCTCACTGCATTTGGAAATAAATGTTAGATTTCTATGTGTATTACCGACCTGGCTCGGGTGCTGGTTCTGTTAATAAATTATATAAATATTAGTTTGTATTGCATTTACTAGCAGGACACTTTGGGAGTACTGACTATTGTAAAAACACGGATATCTAGATTTTGCGTACTCTACGACTTTTGTTGTTGCTATTTCGACACTCTCTCTTGCTATGGTTATGCAATTTACATGAGTGAATTAGCCATCAGTAGAGAGAGGTTCCTCACAGGAGTTATTTAAAAATTTCAAGGTATTATTAACTGAGAATGTTTACTTTAAATTTTCTTAATAAGTTTAAAGATACCTGGTGCAGGGGGCTGTGGAGCTGGTATCGGAATTACTGAGAACAAAGAAAAAAATGTATTTAAATTACTTTCTGATAAAATATTATATTTAAAAGATTGAAACAGGGGCAGTAAGTTATAGAGGTAACTACAGTATAATCACATATTGTTTTCAATTGAAACTTAATGTGATTTCACAGGAATTAATTCTGGTTACGGAGTGAGAGCTATTTTTAAGTTAACGCAAACAAATCGTTATCGCGTGAAGTCTTTTATTGGTTGGTTAACTTGAAGCTGGCCAATTAGAGCGCCGAACGTCATAAACATGTCGATCACGTTATCGTAACATAAACAAAAATCCACAAATTAATAGATTTGTTTATGATTGACCACTTCTTCTAATTGACGAAATAAACAGATAGATAAATAAGAACATATAGGATAATAAGATATGTAAACATAAATTTGAAATTGATTAATGTTAAATATAATACACGACCAGAATACAAAATCAGAACTGACAGACATTACATAAGATTGTAACGATAACATAGAACAAACAGGAGAAGTGCTTCTCCTCTAGATAATAATATTAGCCATGGAGTAACGGTAATAAAGACATTTGTGAAGAGGTCTACATTATATAGACAGAGTAAGAGTCGACTTAGAAAAATGTTTCAGATAACATGTTCAATCGAATGTATAATGAAAAGAAAAGAAAAAAATATATAATATACAAAAAAATATTCATTACCTGGAGCCGGTTGTGGAGTAATATTTTCTGGTTCTGTTACAAAATAAGTAGATGAGTTAAGTATAAATTTTACATAAAATAATTATATTACAAAAATAATAAAAGTGACTGCATTTTATTACATAAATAAAATAACTTCAGTATGTGACATAAAGGGAGTGATAAAAATATACTTTGTAATCGAAGTGATTTAAAAAAAATAAATAAAGGTAATAGTAATTTAGAAGTAAGTAAATAAATATTAACCGTTATATTAAACACAAAATAATAATAAATAAAGCTTTGGTATACCTGGCTGCGGCTCCGGTAATACTTCTGAAATTAATGAAAAATAAAGTAATTAGAGAGAAATATTCACAGATTTCATTAAAAATCTAATATTTTAACTTAAAAATATACCTGTATGAGGCAATGGTGCCGGAATATCTGTAAAGGAATTATATAAGTATGTTTTTTTTTTAATTTATGAATATAAATTATTGTAATAATACTATGTTCGTTGACCATAATTATTGGTCCTTATATCAAAAAATAAAAATAAAATTATACCTGGAGTAGCCGTAGGTGAAACGTCTGCAATATATTAAAATATTTTTATAGATACTCATTTTTACTTTAAAAAATAAATAAATTATTTTAGAAAAAAAAATCATAAATATACCTGGTAATGGGTGAACTGGTGGAACTATTGGGATCAGATGTCCTGTAGAATATTACAAAAAAATAAATAAATAAAAACAGGTCATTTTAAAAATATAAATCATAATAGAAATGAAAAAAGGAAAAATAGTAACAATATCAAAAGAGGAAGAAATGATAGTACCTAACTGTAAAATTCTCACAAAAACTTGCAGCATCTGATAGAATAAGACAGATGACATACCAAATAACCCAGAAATAAAAATACAAGGATAATGCAAAGGATTTTGATAAAAATAACTGAACAATACATACATAAAATACGACCAAGATTAGGGCACATTTTAGAAAAGAACTTGATGACCCTATAAACACACGCACAGAGGACAAGATTCAATAAAATATATACCAATTAAAAGAAATTAGAACTAAGATTGAAGAACATAATTGATAAAATCAAATTCGAATAGGAAGGTGTTCTGTCGAATAACAACATAATATATACTTGGTACCAAATAAGACTCAATATATGACAGTAGAAAGAAAATTGACGATTGAAGAAAAAATAATAGCTCTAAATTTACAATATGTTGAAACTAGTTTTTTTTTAAATAAAACAGTCGTAGAAAGCACTAAGGCGATCAATGTTTTTATCTTATGCGTGGCTCTAGATGAAGCTGCTACAAAAAACTGAAAAGTAGAGAACAAATAGGAAAGATAACAAAAGCGTTGAGTAAATATCCGTCTCCATCTCATTTACCTTCAGGAGGAGGTGATATATTAATTACTTCTGCAAATAATTCAAAAGGTACAAATTAGTGATTTTGTAAATTTTAGTATATCATGTTCAAAACAATTGTGATGTACCTGTATGAGTCGTCACAGATACCGGGGCTAGCGGAGCTATTTCTGTGGAAGATTAATCAAGTAACTATACTGAGATAATACCTCTACTAACGCCAGTGCTTCAAGCAATACAATACACTGTTACAGTACAAAGTAAACGAATTAAAAGTAAACTTTATAAAACTAGTTTACCAACTACCTGGATATGATAATGGTGATATATTTACTTCTGACATTAATATAAAACAAATTAATGATCTGTGAGACAATTCGTCACAAGAATATTAATTTGAAATAAATTTGAAAATAGAATTAGAAAAAATGAATTCGTAAAACGTGTTGAGGATGTAGGTAATTGGTTGTTTTTCTGGAACATGTTTAAAAGAACTAAATTGGATTACAGGAGTGATTATAATGATAGTAGATAATGTAATTCTTTGAAATGTACCTGGAGGATGAGGCTGTGGTTGCTCTGTAAAAAGTTTTAAATGTATCAAAACAAGCATTATGTTGCATAATGTAGATGTTAAACTAATAACGACAACAAAGAAATACTTAAAAATTATAAAAGATATGTACCTGGTACTCCTTGAGGTGCAGGCTCATTATATATGTATCCTGGTGTACAATAAGATTATTGTTTAGTAAAAACAAAGGTTTTTTGGTATTGATTGTGTAACCTTACAAATGTAATTACCTGGTTGGATAGATGAGAGATACCGGAATGGTGGGCCCAGCTCTGTGAAAGAAGTGCATTGAATAGAATCACAATGTCAACCTATCATCACTGCAAAAACAGTGAAATGAGACTTAATTACATGCGGTGTTTGTGAAGCTGAAAATATAATAACAGTTCGCAATATTACTTGTTTGTGGAAGTGTTGGAATTTACGTCATAATAATAAGTTTATAGAATTGCTTTTCTCAAAATATTCGGGTATATATCTGGGTGTGGTTGGCACAGTGAGGGCGATGGAAGTAATTCTGTAAGTGGCGGTATTCAATTTGGGTGGAGACGCCTTTTTGTAACCAATATAAGCAAAAATGCTTTAAGATGTTCCTTGTCTCTACTCTAAATGAGTTAAAATTGAAGTATGTATATATCTATGGTTTACCTCTATGGTTACCTTTTTAGCCTCTAAGAGGCTAGAGGTAAAAAATAAGATAGGCTCAAGTGACAAACGTGGTCAAATTATTGAGTAGAGTCGAAATGTACCTGGATGTAGGGGCGATGGAGATGGAGGCTGTGGTTGATGCTCTGTGAATAACGGAGTGAATAGTATATAAGTATTACTTAAGTCAACATTAAAAGATCAATAAAATGCTGTAGTGTTTCTTAAATTTCAAGTAGCCGTTTGAATAGGACTCTAATTATACGGATGGGGATCAGCGAAAGGCGCTGCGAAAACAAATATTTATACAAAAATCAAGATCTCAAACTCCCACCAAAAAACAAACTGTTTTAATTAGACAAGAAGTCACCTGGATGAGGCGCCGGTGGACCAGCTTCTGGAGCTACTTCCGGAGCTAATGAAAATATATTAAACTTAAAGACTTTTACAAAACACACTTTTATGCAGCTTGGCATTTATCGTGTATACGAAATACAAAATTTCACTTTACACATATCCATCGGCGCATGTGCGCTATCACGCGCGGGTACATACGTTGCAAATTAAATAAATGCTTATAATAAAGAAGTATGTTAAATGAGTGGAGTACACAGAGCTGGCACAGACAATACTGGTGTTATAACTGTTCCTGGCTGTGTAGGTAACATTGTGGACAATTTCATAAATTGTTCGTAAAAATAATAATCATTTAAATATTCCTTTATTATTTGTAATACACCGGAGTGAGAGTGATTGAAGCGGTTCCGTGAGTGTCAATCATTCAACCTAGCCTTATTTCATTTTAATAATAATTGTAAGCTTTACATTCATGGGTTACAAATACTAATAAACACTAGGTAATTAGGTAATCTAAAGACACGCTTTCACATATTTGATTTAGGCAGTGTTAATAGTAACAGCTAAGTGTTTATAGTCATATTGTATACTAATCGTGTATACAAAATGTAAGCTCTACCGGTTGAAGGTACTCAAACTAGTCACAAATATATTTAATATAATATATATATAAAAGTTTGTAATAATACCTACAACTTTACAAAATAGATACAATTATTGAATTGAGATGGGTGCTATGGTTGTTGCTCTGTGAATGGTGTAATGGGGTGTCATATTTGTTATAAAAATGATCGAATATGTTTACAAAAAAATAGTGGTGCTCCTAAATTTCAAGGAGACGGTTTATATCTGGCTGATCTTATACCTGGTGATGGGTGTGGTTCAGCGGGAGGCGCTGCGAAAATAAATATTTATTAAAAAATAAAATTTTAACCTCCCACCAAATAAAAAACTGTTTGAATGAGACAAGAATCACCTGGATGAGGTGCCGGTGGACCAGCTTCTGGACCTACTTCTGGAGCTAATCAAAATAAATTAGTATGTTAAATAAGTGGATTCGATACAGACAATACTAGAGATGAGGCAAATACATATTAATAAAAAAGTAAGATTTCTAAAACTTCCACCAAATTTTAAAGTGTTTGAACTAAACAAGAAGTCACCTGGATATGGTCCCGGAGGACCAGCTTCTGGAGCTACTTCTGGAGCTAATAAAAAGAAAGAAGTTTATTAAGGGAATGGAGCACAAACAGCTGATCAATACAGACTACACTGGAAATAAAATTAGTATTCGATTTTCGTAATCGTTATTGTGATTTTGGAGCCATTGTTTACAATTGGGATAAATGAGAAAATTTTTCAATTGGTTTATAATGTACCTGGATGTAGAGGCGATGGAGATTGATTCCATGGATGCCATGGAGGCAGCTCTGTGAAGAACAGAGTGAAGTAGAATTAGTTTTATTTTATCGATTTTTTTAAACCAGTGGTGTTCTCCTAGTTATTGTTGTAGCCATTTATATTTGTTTCTACGCTTGGTAGTTGATGTGATTCTGAGAAAGGCACTACAAAAACTTTCGATAATAATACCCAGTATTACTTATGAGACAGATACCACAAGACTATCGAAATATTTTGGAGGCGAGTTAAAGTTATTAAATGGTGTACCTGGATGTGGAGGCGATGGAGATGGATGCGGTGGTTGTTCCTCTGTGAATGACAGTGTGAAATATTTTTGTACTTGATCGAATTTTACCTTCTCCAACGAAAGGTGTATTATTATATTAAATTTAAAGTAGCTGTTTGAATTGGACTCTTATTATACCAAGTGATGGACGTGGTTCAGTGGAAGGCGCTGCGTAAATAAATATTTATTCAAAAAGTAATATGCCAAACTTCCACCAAATCACAAATTGTTTGAAAGACACAATAAATCACCTGGATGAGGTGCCGGTGGAGCAGCTTCTGGAGCTACTTCTGGAGCTGATAAAAATAACGAATTGTATTTAATGAGTTAAGAACAAAGAACTAGTCCATAGTGATGTAACTGCACCTGGTTGTATCATTGTTTTCAAATTGAATAAATGTGTAAAATTTTTAAAATAAGATGAATTGTACCTGGGTGTAGAGGCGATGGAGGTTGGTTCCATGGATGCCATGGAGGCAGCTCTGTGAAGGATAGAGTGAAGCAGTATTACATTTGGTCGAATTTATCACAAACTGCGTAGTGATAGTCTTAATTTTACAAATATGCGGTAATATGTGATTTGAATGTACCTGGATGTAAGGGCGGTGGAGATGGTTGCTCTGGTTGTTGCTCTGTGAATAACAGCGTGAAATGTTTTTGGTGAAGTATAAACACATACAAATACAGCTACGGTATTTTTATAAATTTACAGTAGTTGTGTACCACTGCTTGAAAATCATAGTCAAATACTATATATTTGACTAATAATATATCTACCTGGTGATAGCTCTACATATACATGTTCATTCAAGTCGTAAGGCTACAAGCTCTATCCAAAGAATAAATTGATTGAATTATACAAGTAATCACCTGGATGAGGTGCCGGTGGACCTGCTTCAGGAGCTACTTCTGGTGCTAATGAAAATCAAAAGAGTATGTATAATGAGTGAAATACAAAAATAGAAAAAGTGAAATATAACTGCAACTGGTTGTATCCTTGTTCACAAATAGGATACATAATTTTTTTTTTTTTTTGGTAGGGTTAAAATATACCTGGGTGTAAAGGCGATGGAGATTGATTCCATGGATGCCATGGAGGCAGCTCTGTAAAGAACAGAGTGAAGTGGAATTAGTTTTATTTAATCGATTTTTTAAGACAGTGGTGTTCTCCTATTTATTCAAGTAGCCGGTCATATTTGCCACTACGCATAGTAGCCGATATGGTTCTTGGAAAGGTATTGCAAAAAGTTTTATTGAGAGAAGTAATAACACCTATAATGATGCCAGATACTGCATACGAAACGTTATAAATACAAGTGAAAGTGATTTAGTGAGTTAAATGTACCTGGATGTTGAGGCGATGGAGGTGGATGCTGTGGTTGTTGTTCTGTGAATAACATTGTGAAAGATTTTTTGTACTACATCAATTTATTTCTTGTCTATCGAAAGCTGTGATAGTTCATTAAATTTCAAAAAGTTTTAACATTTAAGTAGTATTATACCTGGTGATGGATGTAGTTCAGGGTAAGGCGCTACAAAAACAAATATTGATACAAAAAGTAAGATCTCAAACTCCCACTATATAGCACATTGTTTGATTTAGACGAAAAATCACCTGGATGAGGTGCCGGTGGACCAGCTTCTGGAGCTACTTCTGGAGCTAAAGAAAAGTGGAGAAGTTTGTTAAATAAGTAGATTAGGTACAGAGAATACTACTGATAATACAGTGGGCAGTTTTGTGAAATGATCGTAAGTCACTTTATTAATATTTTCTTTAAAAACTGTTATATACCTGGGTGACCTGGCGGTGACGGTGGGGGCAATGGAAGTAATTCTGTGAGTGACAGTAGTCTAATTTACAATTATTGTAATTTCATTGTTGATATCGTGATTTTGGAGGCACTGTTTGTAAATGGGATAAATGTACAAAATTTTTGGAATGATTTGAAATGTACCTGGGTGTAGAGGCGATGGTGTTTGATTCAATGGATGCCATGGAGGCAGCTCTGTGAAAAGTTAAGTGCAATAGTATTATTTGGATTGAATTAATATCAAACTGGGCAATGATATTGTCTTCATTATCAAGTAGGCGGTAATATGTCATTTGTATGTACCTGGATGTAAGGGCGGTGGAGATGGTTGCTCTGGTTGTTGCTCTGCGAATAACAGCGTGAAATGTATTTGGTAAAATATTAACACATTTAAATATAGCTTTGGTATTCCCTTAAATTTTAAGTAGTGGTGTATAACTACATAAAAATCATTTTCAAATACATAATTTGACTAATAATAATTATACACTCTAATCCAAGGAAAAGTGCTGCATAAATAAATGTTTATTCAAGGCGTAAGGCACAACACACTCTAACCAAAGAATATTTTTTGAATTAAACAAGACATCACCTGGATGAGGTGCCGGTGGACCAGCTTCTGGAGCTACTTCTGGTGCTAATGAAAATAAGGAGTATGTATAATGAGTGAAGTACAAAGAGATGGTACAGACTAAAAGTGATGTAACTGCACGTGGTTGTATCATTGTTTACAAATTGAATGTATAAAAATAATTTTTGAAATGATTTGAAATGTACCTGGCTGTACAGGCGATGGAGATGGATGCCATGGATGCCATGGATGCCATGGAGGCAGCTCTATGAAGAACAGAGTGAAATGGAATTAGTTTTATTTAATCGATTTTTTAAAATTAGTGATGTTCTCCTATTTATTCAAGTAGCCGTTTATATTTGCCACTACACCTGGGGGCTGATATGGTTCTGGGAAAAGTATCATTGAGAGAAGTAATAACATCTGCAATGACTTCGAGCCAGATACTGCAAAACATACAAAGTGTTTTAAATGCAAGTTGAAGTGATTTAGTGACTTAAGTGTACCTGGATGTTGAGGCGATGGAGGTGGATGCTGTGGTTGTTGCTCAGTGAATAACAGCGTGAAATATTTTTTGTACTACATCAATTTATTTCGTGTTTATCGAAAACTGTGATAGTTCATTTAATTTCAAAGAGCCGATAACATTGAAGTAATATTATACCTGGTGATGGATGTAGTTCAGGGTAAGGTACTGCAAAAACAAATGTTTACATAAAAATTAAGATCTTAAACTCCCACTGTATAGCACATTGTTTGAATTAGACTAGAAATCACCTGGATGAGGTGCCGGTGGACCAGCTTCTGGAGCTACTTCTGGAGCTAAAGAAAATAACGAAATATATCTGACAAGTGAAGAACAAAGAGCTAGTACATACAAAAGTGATGTAACTGCACCTGGTTGTATCATTGTTTACAAATTAAATAAATGTGCAAATGTTTGAAATGAAATATAATGTACCTGGGTGTAGAGGCAATGGAGCTTGATTCCATGGATGCCATGGAGGTAACTCTGTGAAGAACAGAGTGATGTAGTATTAAATTTGATCGAATTTATAACAAACTGAGCAGTAGTTTTGTCTTAATTTTCAAGTAGGTGGTTATATTTGACTTGAATGTACCTGGATGTAAGGGCGGTGGAGATGGTTGCTCTGGTTGTTGCTCTGTGAATAATGGCGTGAAATGTATTTGGTGAAATATATACACATATAAATATAGCTATGGTATTCTCTTAAATACATATGCATATTTGAATAATAATAATTCTACCTGGTGATAGCTCTAGTCTAAGGAAAGGTGTTGTAGGATCAAATGTTTATTCAAGGCGTAAAGCTACATGCTCCAACCAAAGTATACATTATTTGAATTGTACAAGAAATCACCTGGATGTGGCGGTGCCGGTGGACCGTATTCCGGAGCTACTTCTGGAGCTAATGAAAGTACAGAAGTGTGTTAAGTGAGTAGAATTGGTACAGACAATACTAGTGATGAAATAGTGAACAAAATTGTAAATTTTTTTCTTTACAAACTGGGTGACCTGGCGGTGACGGTGGGGGCGGTGGAAGTAATTCTGAGGGTGACAGTAATTCAATTTACACTTATTGTGTTGTCATTATCGTCATCGTGATTTTGGACGCCCTGTTTGTAAATGGGATAAATGTATAAAATTTTTGAAATGTTTTGAGATGTACCTGGGTGTAGAGGCGACGGTGATTGATTCAATGGATGCCATGGCGGCAGCTCTGTGAAAAACAGAGTGGATTAGTATTAATTTTGATCGATTTTATAACAAAGTGGGCAATGATAATGATGTCTTAATTTACAAGTAGGCGATAATATGTGATTTGAATGTACCTGGATGTAAGGGCGGTGGAGATGGTTGCTCTGGTTGTTGCTCTGTGAATAACGGCGTGAAATGTATTTGGTAAAATACAACAAATGGTAAAACAATTGGTAAAACACATACAAAAATAGCTATAGTATTCTCCTAAAAATAGTAGTGTACTTGAAAATCATAGTCAAATACATATATTTGATTAATAATAATTCTACCTGGTGATAGCTCTAGTTCAAGAAAAGGTGTTGTAGGAACAATTGTTTATTCAAGGCGTAAGGCTACATGCTCTAACCAAAGAATGAATAGTTTGAATTATACAAGAAATCACCTGGGTGAGGTGCCGGTGGGCCTGCTTCGGGAGCTACTTCTGGTGCTAATGAAAATAAAGGAGTATGTTTAATGAGTGAAGTACAAAGAGATGGTTCAGACTAAAAGTGATGTAACTCCACGTGGTTGTATCATTGTATACAAATTTAATAAATGCGCTACATTTTTGATAAGACATGAAATATACCTGGGTGTAGAGGCGATGGAGATGGGTGCCATGGATGCCATGGAGGCAGCTCTATGAAAATAATAGTGAAATAGAATTAATTGCATTTAATAGAATTTTTAAAATGGTTTTATTTTGTTCAAATAGTCGTTTATATTTGACTATTACGCCCGGTAGTTGATGTGGTTCGTGGTGAGAACGGCCTTGCAAAAAGTTTTGTTTATAGGAAAATGAACACCTGGAATGACTTATGAGCCAGATAACGCAAAGCTAACCAAATATTTTGAAGGCTAGTTAAAGTGATTAAATAAGTAAAATATACCTGGACGTTGAGGCGATGGAGGTGGATGCGGTGGTTGTTGTTCTGTGTAAAATATAGTTTGAAAATTGTAACTGGTCTACCGAAAGCCGTGGTCTTATATTTAATTTCATGAAGCCGTTTATATTTAGCTAATATTATACGTGGTGTTAGAAGTAGTTCAGGGTAAGGTACTGTAAAAGCAAATATTTATACAAAAAGTAAGATCTCAAACTCCCATTATATACCAAATTGTTTAAACTGTCAAACATTAAGCAGTCACCGGTGACCGCAACCTATTGTTCTATAATTGTGTCTACAAAACCGGTACTCGACGAGTTAAATTAGACAAAAAATCGTAATGAAAAATGATCGTAAGTTACTTTTTTAATATTTCCTAAAAAAAAAACTGTAATATACCTGGGTGATCTGGCGGTGATGGTGGGGGCGATGGAAGTTATTATGGGAGTGACAGTAATTCAATTTACAATTTCTCTAATTTTATTATTGTTACCGTGATTTTGGAGGCACTGTTTCTAAATGGGATAAATGTACAAAATGTTTGGAATGATTCGAAATGTACCTGGGTGTAGAGGCGATGGAGGTTGGTTCGATGGATGCCATGGAGGCAGTTCTGTGAACAATAGAGTGAAGTTGAAGAAATTCAATCGAATTTATAACAAACAACGCAGTAACATGGTCTTAATTTTCAAGTAGGTGGTTATGTATAATTTGAATGTACCTGGATGTAAGGGCGGTGGAGATGGTTGCTCTGGTTGTTGCTCTGTCAATAACGCGTGAAATGTATTTGGTAAAATATAATCACATACAAAAATAGGTATTTTCTTAAATTTCAAATAGTACTTTATCATTACATGAAAATCTTAGTCAAATACATAATTTGACTAATAAATACACGGTGATAGCTTTGGTCCAAGAAAAGGTGCTGCAGACACAAATATCTAACCAAAGAAAAATTGTTTAAATGAGACAAGAAATCACCTGGATGAGGTGCCGGTGGACCGTATTCCGGAGCTAATTCTGGAGCTACTTCTGGAGCTAATAAAAGTAAAGAAGTGTGTTAAATGAGTAGATTTGGTACAGAAAATACTAGGGATGACACAGTGGATAATTTTGTAAAATCTTCGTAAGGATACACCTCTACTACTATTTTATTAAAAATCGTTAATATACCTGGGTATCTTGGCGGTGACGGTGGAGGCGATGGAAGTAATTCCGTGAGTGACATTAATTCAATTTACACTTATTGTGTTGTCATTATCGAAATCGTGATTTTGGACGTCCTGTTTGTAAATGGCGTAAATGTACAAAATTTCTGGAATGTTTTAAAATGTACCTGGGTGTAGAGGCGATGGAGGTTGGTTCCATGGATGCCATGGAGGCAGCTCTGTGAAAAACAGAGTGAAATAGTATTAATTTTGATATTATTTATAACATACTGGGCAATTTGTGGTATTTTCAAGTATTTTCAAATATGCGGTTATATGTGATTTGAATGTACCTGGATGTAAGGGCGGTGGAGATGGTTGCTCTGGTTGTTGCTCTGTGAATAACAGCGTGAAATGTATTTGGTGAAGTATAAACACATATAAATATAGCTATGGTATTCTCTTAAATTTCAAGTAGTGGTGTAGCACTACTTAAAATCATAGTCAAATCATAGTCATATATTTGACTTATAATAATTCTACCTGGTTATAGCTCTGGTCCAAGAAAAGGTGTTGTAGGAACAATTGCTTATTCAAGGCGTAAGGCTACATGCTCTAACCAAAGCAATATTGTTTGAAATATACAAGAAATCACCTGGATAAGGTGCCGGTGGACCAGCTTCGGGAGCTACTTCTGGTGCTAATGAAAATAAAGGAGTATATACAATGAGTGAAGTACAAAGAAATGGTACACACTAATTGTGATGTAACTGCACCTTGTTGTATCCTAGTTCACAAATTGAATACTTAAAAATAATTTTTGAAATGTTTTGAAATATACCTGGGTGTAGAGGCGCTGGAGATTGATTCCATGGATGCCATGGAGGCAGCTCTGTGAAGAACAGAGTGAAGTAGAATTAGTTTTATTTAATCGATTTTTTTAAATCAGTTATGTTCTCCTATTTATTCATGTAGCCGTTTATATTTGCCACTACACCTGGTGGCTAATATGGTTCTGGGAAAGGCACTGCAAACAGTTTCATTTAGAGAAGTAATAAAACCTGGAATGACTGATGAACCAGATACTGCAAAACATAGAAATGTTTTAAATGCAAGTTGGAGTGATTTAGTGAGTTAAGTGTACCTGGATGTTGAGGCGATGGAGGATGATGCTGTGGTTGTTGCTCTGTGAATAATAGCGTGAAATATGTTTGTACTATATCAATTTATTTCGTGTTTATCGAAAGCTGTGATAGTTCATTAAATTTCAAAGTGCCGATAACATTGAAGTAATATTATACCTGGTGATGGATGTAGTTCAGGGTAAGGTACTGCAAAAACAAATATTTATACAAAAAGTAAGATCTCAAACTCTCACTATTTAGCACATTGTTTGAATTAGACGAAAAATCACCTGGTTGAGGTGCTGGTGGACCAGCTTCTGGAGCTACTTCTGGAGCTAAAGAAAATAATGAAATATATATGACAAGTGAAGATAAAAAAGAGCTAGTACATACAAAAGTGATGTAACTGCACCTGGTTGTATCATTGTTAACAAATTAAATAAATGTGCGAAATGTTTGAAAAGAAATATAATGTACCTGGGTGTAGAGGCGATGGAGCTTGATTCCATGGATGCCATGGAGGCAGCTCTGTAAAAATTTGAGTGCAATAGTATTATTTAGATTGAATTAATATCAAACTGGGCAATGATATTGTCTTCATTATCAAGTAGGCGGTTATATGTGATTTGAATGTACCTGGATGTAAGGGCGGTGGAGATGGTTGCTCTGGTTGTTGCTCTGTGAATAACGGCGTGAAATGTATTTGGTAAAGTATAAACACATTTAAATATAGCTTTGGTATTCTCTTAAATTTTAAGTAGTCGTGTATCACTACTTGAAAATTGTAGCTCTGATCCAAGGAAAGTTGTTGCAAGAACAAATATTTATTCAAGGCCTAAGGCTACAGGCTCTAACCAAAGTATAAATTGTTTGAATTAGACAAGAAATCACCTGGATGAGGTGCCGGTGGACCGTATTCCGGAGCTACTTCTGGAGCTAATGAAAGTAAAGAAGTGTGTTATATGAGTGGATTTGGTACAGACAAATACTAGTGATGAAATAGTGGACAAAATTGTAAAATTTTTGGAAAATTTACAAATTTTAATATTTTTCTTTACAAACTGTACCTCTAATATACCTGGGTGACCTGGCAGTGACGGTAGGGGCGATGGAAGTAATTCTGAGGGTGACAGTAATTCAATTTACACTTATTGTGTTGTCATTATCGAAATCGTGATTTTCGTTGCCCTGCTTGTAAATGGGATAAATGTATAAAATTTCTGAATTTTTTTGTGATATACCTGGGTGTAGAGGCGATGGTAATTGATTCAATGGATGCCATGGAGGCAGCTCTGTGAAAAACAGAGTGGATTAGTATTAATTTTGATCGAATTTATAACAAACTGGGCAATGATGATGATGTCTTAATTTACAAGTAGGCGGTTATATGTGATTTGAATGTACCTGGATGTAAGGGCGGTGGAGATGGTTGCTCTGGTTGTTGCTCTGTGAATAACAGCGTGAAATGTATTTGGTGAAATATAAACACATATAAATATAGCTTTGGTATTCTCTTAAATTTTAAGTAGTGGTGTATCACTACTTGAAAATCTTAGTCAAATACATATACATATTTGACTAATAATAATTCTACTTGGTCCAAGAAAAGGTGCTGTAGAAACAAATGTCTATTCAAGGCGTCAGGCAACATGCTCTAACTAAAGTATGTTGTTTGAATTATACAAGAAATCACCTGCATGAGGTCCTGGTGGACTAGATTCGGGAGCTAATTCTGGTGCTAATAAAAAAAAAATATGTTTAATGAGTGAAGTATGTACAAAGAGATGGTACAGACTAAAAGTGATATAACTGCACGTGGTTGTATCATTGTTTACAAATCATACAATTCCAAATTATAAATAAATGCTCAACATTTTTTAAAATAATTGATATGTACCTGGGTGTAGAGGCGATGGAGATGGATGCCATGGATGCCATGGAGGCAGCTCTATGAAAGACATAGTAGAGTAGAATTAATTGCACTTAATTATTTTTTTTTAAATGGTGTTATTTTGTTCAAATAGCCGATTATATTTGACTACTACGTGTGGTAGTTTATGTGGTTCGTGGTGAAAAAGGTCTCGCAAAAAGTGTCGTTTATATGAATATGAACACCTGGAATGACTTATGAGTCAGATAATGCAAAGCTACCCAAATATTTTGAAGGCTAGTTAAAGTGATAAAATGAGTAAAATGTACCTGGATATTGAGGCGATGGAGGTGGATGTGGTGATTGTTGCTCCCGAATAACAGTGTCAAATATTATATGAAATTTTTAACTGGGCTACCGAAACCCATGGTCTTATATTAAATATCATGGAGCCGTTTATATTTAGCTAATATTACACTTGGTGCAAAAAACAAATATTTATACAAAAAGTAAGATCTCAAACTCCCACTATATACCAAATTCTTTGAATTAGATAAGAAATCACCTGGATGAGGTGGTGCCGATGGACCGAATTCCGGAGATACTTCTGGAGCTAATAAAAGTGAAGAAGTGTGTTAAATGAGTAGATTAGGTAAAGATAATACTTATAGTGATAATACAGTGGGCAGTTTTGTGAAATGATCAGAAGTCACTTTATTAATATTTTCTTTAAAAACTGTAATATACCTGGGTGACCTGGCGGTGACGGTGGGGGCGACGGAAGTATTTCTGTGAGTGGCAGTAATTCAATTTACAATTATTCTAATTTCATTATCGTTACCGTGATATTGGAATGATTTGAAATGTACCTGGGTGTAGAGGCGTTGGAGGTTGGTTCCATGGATGCCATGGAGGCAGCTCTGTGAAAAACAGATTGAAATGGTTTTCATTTTGACATTATTTTTAACAAAGTGGGCAATGATATTGTCTTCATTTTCAAGTAGGCGGTTATATGTGATTTGAATGTACCTGGATGTAAGGGCGGTGGAGATGGTTGCTCTGGTTGTTGCTCTGTGAATAACAGCGTGAAATGCGTTTTGTAAAATATAATATACACATACAAAAAATGCTATGGTATTCTCTTAAATTTCAAGTAGTGGTGTACCACTACTTTGGCTAATAATAATTCTACCTGGTGATAGATCCAAGAAAAGGTGCTGTAGGAACAATTGTTTATTCAAGGCGTAAGGCTATATGCTCTAACCAAAGAATGAATAGTTTGAATTGTACAAAAAATCACCTGGGTGAGGTGCCGGTGGGCCTGCTTCGGGAGCTACTTCTGGTGCTAAAATTAAGGAATATGTTTAATGACTCACGTACAAAGAGATGGTACAGACTAATAGTGATGTAACTGCACCTAGTTGTATCATTGTTTACAAATTAAGTAAATATGCAAAATTTTTAAAAAGAGTTTGAATGTCCCTGGGTGTGGAGAGGTGATGGAAATGGATGCTATGGATGCCATGGTGGCCGCTCTATGAAAAGCAGAGTGAAGAAGAATTAATAGCCGTTTAAATTTGACTACTAGTTGTTGTGGTTCGTGGTGAGAAAGGCCTTGCAAAAAGTGCTGTTTATAGAAATAAAAATACCTGGAATGACTTATAAACCAGATACTGCAAAACTAACCAAATGTTTTGAAGGTGAGATAAAGTGATTAAATGAGTTAAATGTACCTGGATGTTGAGGCGATGGAGATGGATGCTGTGGTTGTTGCTCTGTGAATAATAGTGTAAAATATTTTATGTACTATATTTATTTTTAACTGGTGTAGACTAGTAAGCCATGGTCTTATATGAAATTCATAGCAACCGTTGATAATTAGCTAATATTATACCTGGTGATGGATGAGGTTTAGGGTAAGGTGCTGCAAAAACAAATATTCACAAAGTAAGATCTCAAACTCTTCCAAAATAAGAAATTGTTTGAATTATACAAGAAATCACCTTCATGAGGCGCCGGTGGACCGGCTTCTGGAGCTACTTCCGGAGCTATTTAAAATAAAGAAGTATAATTCAATGATTAAAGCAACGCCCGATACACACTACACTAGTAATGTTACTAGTCCTGGTCGTGCAGCCAATTGTGGAGGACACAGTGGATTGAGGTCAGTCAGTGGTCAAAGTAGGCAAAATTACTGAATTAAATTGAAATGTACCTGGATATAGGGGCGATGGAGATGGGTGCTCTGGTGGTTGCTCTGTGAATAACAGATTGAATTTCACAGAATATGGACACAAACATGCTATGGTATTAATCTCTTCCATATCAAGTAGTGGTATGTATTTGACTAATAACTATTACATCTGGTGAAGGAAATAGTCTATAGAATGGAGGTGCGAAAAAATTTGTTATGTTTGTTCAAGACATGAGATCTCACACTTTAACAAAAGAGTAAATTATTAGAATTGGAAAAAAAATACCTGGATGAGGTGCTGGTGGACCAGATACTGGAGCTACTTCTGGAGCTAGTTAAATAAAGTTAAAAAGTGTGTTCAATGAGTAGATTTGAAACAGATAATACTAGAGATGACATAGTGGACAATTTTATGAATGCTCATTCGTTACTTTTTAAATATTTTCTTTAAAAACTGTTATATACCTGGGTGACCTGGCGGTGACGGTGGGGGCGATGGAAGTAATTCTGTGAGTGATAGTAATTCAATTTACAATTCTTCTTATTTCATTTTTGGCACTGTTTGTGAATGGTATAGATGTACAAAATTTTTGGAATGGATTTGAAAGGTACCTGGGTGTAGAGGCGATGCAGGTTGGTTCAATGGATGCCATGGCGGCAGCTCTGTGAAGAACAGTGTGAAGTAACTACTATCAATTTTGATCGAATTTATAATAAACTGAGCAGTAATATTGTCTTAATCTTTAAGTAGCGGTTTTATTTGATTTGAATGTACCTGGATGTAGAGGCGATGGAGATGGGTGCTCTGGTTGTTGTTCTGTGAATAACGGAGTGTAATATATTTTATAAAATATAAACAAACATAAACACATATGTATGAAAATAGCTATGGTATTCTTCTGAATTTCAAATAGCCATGTACCACTACTTGAAACGAATGTTTATTCAAGACGCAAGGCCACATACTATAACCAAAGAATAAATTGTTTGAATTAAATAAGAAATCACCTGGGTGAGGTGCTGGTGGACCAGCTTCGGGAGCTACTTCTGGTGCTAATGAAAATAGAGGAATATATTTAATGAATGGAGCACAAAGACATGGTACAGACCAATAGAAATGTAACTGTTTCTGGTTGTATCATTGTTTAAAAATTTGATAAATGACCATAATTTTTTAAATAAGTTGAAGTATACCTGGGTGTAGAGGCGATGGAGATGGATGCCATGGATGCCATGGAGGCAGCTCTATGAAGAACAAAGTGAAGTAAAATTAATTTTACATGATTTAATTTATAAAAGACAGCGATAATTATTGTCTTTATTCAAGTAGCGATTTATATTCGACTTATGTACCTGATAGTTCATCTAGTTCAGTGAATGGCGATGCGAAAACAAATATTTATACACAAAGCAAAATTTGAAACTCAGTATATAATAACTTGTTTGAAATAGACAAGAAATCAGCTGGGTGATGTGGATCAAACCCTGGGGTTACTTCTGGTGCTAATGACAACAAAATACAATTTATTTAGGGATTTAAACCCCGAGAGCTGATATTAGACGACACTAGTGATGAAGCAGTGGCATTCTATTTTCATAGTCATTGTGGTGATTTTGGAGCCATTGTTTATAAATGTGATAAAAATTGAAATGAGTTGAAATGTACCTGGGTGTAGAGGCGATGGAGATGGTTGCCATGGATGCCATGGAGGTAGCTCTGTGAAGAACGGAGTGAAATAAAATAAGTTTTATTTAATCGATGTTTTTAAACCATTGTCGTTCTCCTATTTATTCAAGTAGCCGTTTATATTTGCCACCACGCCTGATGGCTGATATGGTGCTAGAAAAGACACTACAAAACGTTTCATTTAGAGAAGTAATAACACCTAGAAGAACTTATGAGCCAGATACTGCAAAACATACAAAATGTTTTAAATGCAAGTCAGAAGTGATTTAGTGAGTTATACATATGTACCTGGATGTTGAGGCGATGGAGGTGGAGGCTGTGGTTGTTGCTCTGTAGATAACAGGGTGAAATATTTTTTGTATTAGATCCATTATTTTCTTGTCAAACGAAAACAAATATTCATAAGAAAAGTTAGATGCCAAACTCGTCCAAACTAAGAAATTGTTTAAATCAGACAAGAAATCACCTGGATGAGGTGCCGGTGGACCAGCTTCTGGAGCTAAATAGAATAAAGAAGTATATATTTAATAAGTGGACTACAACGAGCCGATACCCACTAAACTAGTGATTTTGTTGCACCTGGCTAAGCAGTGTAATTGTGGAGGACACAGTGGATTGAGGTCAGTCAGTCAGTGATCAAAGTAGGCAAAATTACTAAATAGCGTTGAAATGTACCTGGTTGTAGGGGTGATGGAGATGGGTGCTCTGGTTGTAGCTCTGTGAATAACCGAGTGAACTTGATATAATATAAACATATGTATTTAGTAATTTATTATAGTAATTTATTATATCTGGTGAAGGATGTACTCCAGGGAAAGTATCTTCCAGGTGCCACCCAGGTGGGGGCGATGGAAGTAATTCTGTGAGCGACAGTAATTGAATTTAAGCTTATTCTAATTTCATTATGGTTATCGTGATCTAATGATTTTGGAGGCACTGTTTGTTAATGGTATAATTAATATACAAAATTTTTGAAATGACTTGTAAGATACCTGGACGTAGAGGCGCTGGAGGTTGATTCAATGGATGCCATGGAGGCAACTCTGTGAAGAACATAGTGATGTAGTATTAATTTTGATCGAATTTATAACAAACTGCGCGGTGATATTCTAGGAGAATTTTTCATGTAGGTATATTTGATTTGAATGTACCTGGATGTAAGGGCGGTGGAGATGGTTGCTCTGGTTGTTGCTCTGTGAATAACAGCGTGAAATGTATGTGATAAAATGTAAACTTATGTAAAAATAGCTATGGTATTCTCTTAAATTTTACCTGGCTGACCAGGTACTTGTGGAGGACACAGTGGATTGGGGTTATTCAGTCAGTGATCAAAGTAGGCAAAATGACTAAATCGAGTTGAAATGTACCTGGTTGTAGGGGCAATGGAGATGGATGCTGTGGTTGTAGCTCTATGAATAAGTGTAAAAAAATTTTTGATCTTGATCAACTGTTAAGTTGTCTGAAGTTGTAGTATTCTATTAAACAAGGAGCGGTTTAGTTTTACTGGAGATGGATACCCATCTCCTGGTTCAGGGAAAGTCGTTGCGAAAACATATTTTTTTTTCAAAATGTTAAATTTTACACTCTAGCCTAATAATAAATTGCTTTAATCAAACAAGAAATCACCTGGATGAGGCGCCGGTGGACCAGCTTCTGGAGCTACTTCTGGAGCTAATGAAAATAAATAAGTGTGTTAAGTGAGTGGAGTTCATACAGACAATACTAGTGATGATGCAACCAAATATTTATACAAATAGTAATATCTCAAACTCTACCAAACAACAAACTATTTGAATTAGACAAGAAATCACCTGGATGAGGTGCCGGTGGAACAGCTTCTGGAGCTACTTCTGGAGCTAATCAAAACAAATAAGTATGTTTAATCAGTGGAGCACATGAGGTGATGCTGGGAACACTAGTGATATACATAGTTATAGCTGATTGTGTCGGCCGTAGTAGAAGGTGGACAAATTCTTAACTATTTGTAAACCTAACAAGTTTCGTAAATATTCTTCAAAAATTTTCAATTACTGAAATGAGCAAATAGTACCTGGATGTGGAGGGAATGGAGACAGTTGCCATGGATGCCATGGAGGCAGCTCTGTGAAGAACAGTGGGAAACTGTATTTTATATTTTTGATCGATTTTTAAAGACTTTTTTTGATATTGTTTTTAGTTTGTTATATTTTATAAAATGTACCTGGATGTGGAGGTGTTAGAGATGGATGCCATGGATGCCACGGTGGCAGCTCTGTGAGGAATAAAATGAAGTAGAACTTATTTTACTTCATCGAATTTGTGATAAACAGAGCAGTGATGTTTTCTTAATTTGCAAGTAGGCATATATATTTGATTCAAATGTACCTGGATGTTGAGGCGATGGAGATGGATGCTGTGGTTGTTGCTCTGTGAATGACAGTGTGAAATGTCTTTTGTAATTGATCGAATTTTAACTTATCCAACAAAAGCTGTGGTTTTCTATTAAATTTCAAGTACCCGTTTATATTTATCTTATTTTGTACCTGTTGTTGGATGTGGTTCAGGGGAAGACGTTGCGATAACAAATATTCATACTATAAAAGTCATATCTCAAACTCGTCCAAAATCAGAAATTATTTGAATTAGACAAGAAATCACCTTCATGAGGCGCCGGTGGACCAGCTTCTGTAGCTATTTCTGGAGCTAATAAAAACAAAGAAGTATGTTTAATAATCGGAGCACAATGAGGTAATGCTACCAACACTAGTGATATATCTTTAGTTGGCTGTAGTAGAGGAGAAAGTCGACAAGTCCTTATTTTTCGGTAAATCTTAAAAAGTTTCTTAAATATTCTATAAAATTTAAATGACTGAAAAAAGTAAATAGTACCTGGGGGTGGAGGCAATGGGGACAATTGCCAAGGATGCCATGGAGGCAGCTCTGTGAAGAACAGAGTGAAATTGTATTTCATTTTCTTGATCGCATTTTTAAAAGACCATGATATTATTTTCAATTTCAAGTATTCGTTTATATATAACAAATGTGTACCTGGATGGGGAGGCGATAGAGACGGATGCCACGGGTGCCACGGTGGCAGCTCTGTGAGGAATAGAGTAAAGTGGAATTTATTTTAGTTGATCGGATTTATAAAATATCTGTGCAGTGACGTGCTCTTAATATTAGGCAGGCGTCTATATTTGGTTTGAATGTACCTGGATGTTGAGGCGATGGAGATGGATGCTGTGGTTGTTGCTCTGTGAATAACAGGTTTAAATCTTTTTGTACTTAATCGACTTTAAATATGTGTACAAACAGCTGTGGTGTTATCTTTAATTTCAGGCAACCGTTTATATTTCACTATTGTTATACCTGGTGACGTTTGTGGTGCAGGGGAAGGCGCTGCAAAAACAAAAATGTATATAATAAGTAAGATCTCAATCTCCTACCAAATGATTATTTGTTTGAATTATATAAGAGATTGCCTGTATGAGGTGTTGGTGGTCCAGCTTCTGGAGCTATGTCGGGAGGTAACGAAAATAAAGAGGTGCGTTAAATGCAGAAGCGCACAATTTTGTAAAATGTTGGTTTAAATTACTTATTTTAATATTTTCTTTAAAATTTATAATATACCTGGATGATCTGGCGTTGACGGTGGGGGCGATGGAAGTAATTCTGTGAGTGGCAGGAATGCAAGTGACAATTATTTTATTTTCATAATCGTTATCGTGACTTTAGAGGTACTGTTTAAAAATTGGGTTTATGTACAAATTTTTTGAAATGAGTTGTGATGTACCTGGCTGTTGAGGGGATGGAGATGGGTGCCATGGATGCCATGGAGGTAGCTCTGTGAGGAACAAATTGAATTTATAAAACCCGTGGGTTTCTCCTATTTATTCAAGTAAGCAAATTGACAGTTCTGTTTAAAGAAATGTTTTGTACGCGAGTCAAAGAGTGCACGGTTGGTGCGGTGGCTACCAACTGGCTGCCATGCAACGTGTCGCGGGTTTGATTCTCGCACGAAACTACTCTTTGTGCGATCCAAAGATTGTTGTTCCGGGTCTGGGTGTCATGTATATGTGAACTTGTATGTTTGTAAACGCACCCACCACACAAGTGAAAACCTTAGTGTAGGGCAACGTTTTAAAAAAATATATAATGAAGTGCTTAAATGAGTTAAATATACCTGGATGTTGAGGCGATGGAGATGGATGTGGTGGTTGTTGCTCTGTGAATAACAGGTTGAAATATTTTTGTATTTGGTCGAATTTAGTTACAAATATCTATTCTGTCGTCTTTTATTACAAGTACCCGTTTATAAATGACTATTATTATACCTGGTGAAGTATGTAGTGCAGGGAAAGGCGCTGCATAAACAAATACGTATTTAAACAGTAAGATCTTAAACTCCTACCAATTAATAAGTTGTTTGAATTACACAAGAAATCACCTGGATAAGGTGCCGGTGGAGCAACTCCTGGAGCTATTTCTGGAGCTAATAAAAATAAAGAAGTATGTTAAATGAGTGGAGTTGATATATATAAGTGTTGAAATGATAGAAAATTTTGTAAAATGTGGCGCGATGGAACTAATTTTGTGACTGACAGCAATTCGACTTATGCTTACTCTGTTTTCATAGTCATTGTTGTGATTTAGGAGCCATTGTTTATAAATTGGGATACATATCAAAAAAAAATGATTTAAAATATACCTGGGTGTAGAGGCGATGGAGATGGATGCCATGGATGCCATGGTGGTAGCTCTGAGGAGAACAGAGTGAAGCATATAGTTAATCGTAAATACATTTTGTTACAAGAATCGTATATAATAACCGTGATTTAATCCTAATTTTTAAATTAGCCCTTTATATTTGATTACTATGCCTGGTAGTAGATGTCTTTCAGAGAAAAGTGGTTATAAAAAAACATTTATCGAAATAATTACACCTTGAATAACTTATGGTACAGAAACTTCTAAACTATCGAAATGTTGTTTGGAACCTTCAATTATACCTGAATGGACAAGAGGTAATGTTATTTAATGATTAGACGTTGACTGACTTATAACATATCTACTAAAAACTTCGGTGTTTTCTTTAATTTTTAAGGAATCTATTATTATTAGTTTATCTGGCGATGGGTGTAGTTCAGGGATATCCATTGCAAAATCAAAAAGTAAAAGTTCAAACTACCACCAAAATGAAAAATTGTGTAAATTAATAATTTTGTACATTTTAGAATATTTAGTTCAAAACAATTATCTTGTGGCGTACCTGAATGAGTTGTCACAGATACCGGGGCTAACGGAGCTATTTCTGTGGAACATCAAACAAGTAACTATACTGAGATAATACTAAGGATAGAGCTCGAAGCAATGTTACACTATTACAACACAAATTAAACAAAATTGTATGTAGCTATATTTAAATATTGTACCTGGTAATTCATCTGGTTTATGGAGTGGCGCTGCGAAAACAAATACAGAATACTATTATAGTTAAGAGTAAACCAAAAAAAGTTTATTTTAAACCCTAGCTTTCTAAATCCGGCTTGATCGGAGTGATACTACAGCCTCACAGAAGACCGACGTAAAACACGACTTGCGTTGTGTACCATGTGTGTGAGTGAGGTTACCCGAGCCCGGTTTCCGGGTGTCCATGGGTGGCGCCGATTGCTTACCATCAGGAGATACGTCTGCTTGTTTACCGGTTTATTCTATAAGAAAAAACTACCCGGAGGTTAATGATGTGAGAGGAAATTCATCACAAAAATTTTAATTCGTAAACATATTAACCGCTTGAATGCACCTACATGAGACACAGTCGAAAATACTTTGTGTCTCGAGTGGATCCATGTTTAGACACACGACGAGTTAAAGACTAGGTTGTTTTCTTGAAACTTGTTAATTATAAAATTGGACCACTGAAGTGATTATTGATCATGATAGAAATAATGTATTGCTTTAAAATGTACCTGGTTGGAGAGGTGACGGAGGATGAGGATGTGGTTGCTCTAAAAAAAAAATTTATCAGGCTTCATGTTTCAATGTAATACTAATAACGGCAATACTAGTAAAAATGCTAGTAGTCTTACAGAAGTAAGATCTCACACTGTAACCATAGCAAGAATTGTGTAAATTGGACAAAAAATATCTGGATAAGGTGTTGATGGACCCACTTCTGGAGCTACCTCTGAAGCTAATAGAAATGACGAAATAAGTTTAATGAGTGAAGTACAAAGAGCTGGTACCTACGAGCCTAATGATGTAACTGCGTGGTTGTGTCATTGTCACAAATGGAATAGACGATTACTCAATAGTTTTAGAAATGAGTTGAAATGTACCTGGGTGTAAAGGCGATGGAGATGGATGCCATGGATGCCATGGAGGCAGCTCTGTGAGGGATACAGTGGAGTAGTATTAATTTTATTCGATCGAATTCATAAAAAGCAATGGTTTTTTCCTATTTATTTAAGTAAGTAAGTCGGGTACTATATGCCTAGAAGTTGGTGTCGTTCTCCAATAGGTGGCTGCGAAAAGTTTTGTTTAGAGTAATCTTTTGGAGGCGAGTTAAAGGGCCTAAATGAGTTAATGTACCTGGATGTTGAGGCAATGGAGATGGATGCTGTGGTTGTTGCTCTGTGAATAACAGGGTAGAATATTTTTTGTACTTGTTCGTTTTAATTTGTCTGACGAAAGCTATTTCATTAAATTTAAGTAGCCGTTTATATTTTATGTATATTATACCTGGTGATAGATATGGTTCAGGGGAAGGTGCTGCAAAAACAAATATATATTCAAATAGTAACATTCTTAACTCCCACTAAATAACAAAGTTTTTGAATTACACAAGAAATCACCTGGATGAGGTAGCGGTGGACTAACTTCTGGTGTTACTTCTGGAGCTAATGAAAGTATTGAAGTATATCAAATGAGTGGAGTTGGTACAGACAATATTAGTAATGAAATGGTGAACAATTTTATAAAATTATCGAAAATTTTATAAATTTTAATATTATTTTTAAAAACTGTAATATACCTGGGTGATCTGGTGGTGACGGTGGGGGCGATGGAAGTAATTCTGTGAGTGACAGTTAGTCAATTTACACTTATTGTATTTTTATTATCGTTATCGTGATTTTGGAGTCATTATTTCTAATTGGGATAATTGTGAAAAAAAAATTGAAATGCATTGAAATATACCTGGGTGTAGAGGCGATGGAGATTGATTCCATGGATGCCATGGAGGCAGCTCTGTGAAAAACAGAGTGAAGTGGAATTTATTATTTTTGATCGAATTTATAACAAAAAAGTGTCGTGATGTTCTTTTCATTTTAAAGCTAGTGTTTATATTAGATATAAAGTTACCTGGATGTAGGGGTGGTGGAGATGGTTGCAGTGGTTGTTGCTCTGTGAATGACAGGTTGATTGATATTTATGTACTTCATCGAAGTTTTATATATTTACAAACAGTTGTGGTATGATCTTTAATACCAAGTAACCATTTATATTTGATTATTATACCTGGTGACGTTTGTGGTGCAGGGGAAGGTGCTGCAAAAACAAATATTGATTCAAAAATTAAGATCTGAATCTCCTTCCAAATAATAAACTCTTTGGATTACAATTTTGTAAAATGTTGGCAAAAGTTTAATATTTTCTCTTAAACTGTAATATACCTGGGTGATCTGGCGGTGACGGTGGGGGCGATGGAAGTAATTCTGTGAGTGACAGTAATTCAATTTATATTTTATTATCATCATTATCGATATCGTGATTTTGGACGCCCTGTTTGTAAATGGGATAAATGTACAAAATGTTTGAAATGTTTTGAAATGTACCTGGGTGTAGAGGCGATGGAGGTTGGTTCAATGGGTGCCATGGAGGCAGCTCTGTGAAGAACAGAGTGAAGTTATATTAAGTTTACTTTATCAAATTTACATAAAACAGTGGAATTGTTTTAAATTAAACTTTAGAATACCAGTTTATCAAGTACCTGGATGTGGTGATGGTGGTATGTTTTCTTCTGAAATTAATATAAAACAAATTAGTGACATGAAAAAAGGTTTGTCAGACCAATTTCAATTTTTGTACAATATTGTGTAAAGAATTGGTGGATTTTTTAAACTTGGTATTTACTTAATTGGACTACAGAAGTTATTAAAATGATAGTAGGAATAATGTAACGCTTTCAAATGTACCTGGTTGGAGAGGTGTTGGAGGATGAGGCTGTGGTTGCTCTATAAAAAAAAACATAAC